ACCCTCATCCTCCCAATACGATTATATTATAATTTTGGGTTAGATCAATATATAAGTTTCACATTTCCATGACTATGTAAATATTATATGTCGCTGACCCAAATAGTATATTATAATTACATTTAATTTCTTACATAAAATGTTTTGTTCTCAAGGCCAGCCCGCTGGCACAGCAGTTAAGTTTGCATGTTCCACTTTGGTGGCCTGGGGTTTGCTGGTTCGGATCCTGGGTGCGGACCTACGCACTGCTTGTCAAGCCATGCTGCGGCAGGAGTCCCACAAAAAAGTAGAGGGAGATGGGGACGAATGTTAGCTCAGGCCAGTCTTCCTCAGCAAAAAGAGGAGGATTGGTGGCAGATGTTAGCTCAGGGCTAATCTTCCCCCTACCAAAAAAATTTTTTTGTTCTCTCTGGAGTTAACTTTTTTTTCACTTGGATAGCTTTCTAGGAACCTATCTCATCCATCCCTCAACTTCCTTACAGTGTAATCGCTCTTCAGTAGTTCAAACACATCAGGCATTCATCAGCTTTGTCTTCTTGGGGACAGTTCACTCAGCAGACTGTGGCATTTATTATGGCTGTTCAGGTCATTGTCCTTCTAGGTTTTCAGTTCCTTCACTGTTTGTGAACGATGGGTAAATTCTGGATAAGTGAAGTGGTACTTGTGTTCAGAATGTTGGGGATTTTCTAGTATTCTATACAAACAGAGGATCTAAAATGCCTTCCTAGCAATCTCTCCTCTGAGATGAAGTATTTTCAGGTGGTGCCACACTAAATATTAATGCCTCTTTTCTGTCTTCTCATTTTTCATTGCCTTTATAAGGATATCAATTTCCTTAGCACAAGATTCTGTAAAATACTTAATTGACTTAACATTTTCTCAAATTTTGGGTACGGCAGCAATATTTTCTTCCCATGTAGCAAAAAACACTACATCAATATCCAATCTTGGAAAAATATTGCTGGTGGCACTAAAATTGGTACAACACTTTTGGGAAATAATTTGCCAATATGCAAAAGAACATCATTCCTTTGCCTTTCCAATTTCAGTCTTGGAATCCATTTTAAAGAAATAATCCAAAACATGGAAAAATCTGTAAGAACGTGTAAGAATAGTCACAGTGGTGTTATTTGTAGAAGCGAAAAAATGGAAACGATATAATGTCCGTTAACAGGGTAATAGCTAAATAAATTGTGGGATATATATTTTGCTTTTTACATACATGTAATAATATGAAAATAAATACTTGCTATAATGTTAAACAAAAAATAAGGATAGTATGTCCAGGTACACTGTGATTACAACTATGTAAAACATACACGTTGAGAACTGAAACCATCTACCCTATTCAACTTATGCCTCCATGAATATGACTTCACTATTCCCATGTTCATTAGCATAACTTTACTCTTCCAAGAGTCTCTTGGCCAGGAAATAAATTTATTGTTCATAACAGGAATTTCTCTATAGATCCATCAAATCATCAATAGGAAGTATCAACTGAGTTTATGATGTCCTAAGACTCTTTGAACCCCTCAACTCAAAATCCTTGCCTTAATGTTTCCACCAAATCTGAACAATTATATCATGATCTTTACTCAATCTTAAACAACGCCTGCTCATTGAAAGACCCAGTTTAACAAAACTCCAAGATTTCAATAAAATCTGGGCTTGCCCTCCCCTGCTCTGAGACACCACCCAAGCTCTGCTGAGATGGAGCTCTCCCTTAGGGCAATGAGCGGTAAATGCAGCCCTGTCTTATTAGCATATCGTGTTGGTGATACTTGGAAAACCAGCATCCAACAATACAGAAAAACTATGCAATATATACAGCTAGAAAAAGACAAAAGGAATATGTAAAAATAAGAACAGTTCTGTTAGGGGATTGGTATTCTGTCAACTTTTCAAGCCTTTTTAAAGGTATTCTTATGTAATGAGGGCAAGGCTTATTTCAATCAATATCTAAAAACTCATTTTGGTACAAGCCGCCTTTTAATGTGTAAAGATCAAAGAAAGGCAAAGCTATGCAACTTGTTATTCTCTTTGTTGTGCTTTGTACAACAATCAATAACAGTCTAAAGAGAAGACTGCTTAGGTAGGAAGCAGAGCTGTTCATATTGTAATTATGCTTGTAGAATCAAAATACTTATGGGCTCTGTTGTAATGAAAATGATCCAAAAATGCTCTAAAATCACTTAATGTTGAGAAACAATCATAAGGACACTGACTATGGCCTTTAAATGGGTTTTGGGTCTTTAATGGGACAGAGGCTTTAGACAATGGCTTGCTTAGCACTGAGTTACATAAATGTTGTCGACCTAACATAGCATAGATGCGTCTCACAAAATTAAAAGCCAGGCTTTACTGACAGAAATTTTGTAGTCAATGGGTTTGGCAGAGTTTGTCAAATATATTTCCTATCATTTTATGAAAATCAGGGAGAAAAGCTGGCATGTGGATAGTTTGTCACAGCTGACAAAGGCGACACTCAGGTACACCTTCATACCCCTGGCAGTTAGCTGTTTTGTGTCAAGTTTTCTAATGCAAACAAACTTTGATGGCTTGACTTGTTAAAATGGGCTCTGGTTAGGCCAATTAAAAGCCACTCAGGTAAATGTTACCTTCTCAACTTTTTTTCTCTAGGGCATCAATAAACTTTGTAGGGAGAAGTACATCAATCAAGGCATAACACCAAAAAACAGGATCTATCAACAAAGAAGTCTGGAAATTTCAGTATGACACAACCAGGAGATTTACACAGCTTCTGCTCCAGGTAAAGACACACCGATGAAAGGAATAAAGACAGAAACGCTAAGATTAATCAGGTAATTTTATTTAATATTTACCATTCAGCAGCAACCAATATGAACATCTGAGCTAACAGAATCTCTTGAAGTTGTCTGCTATGTAGCTGCTTCAGAAATACAAGCACATGATAAATTTAACTGTTCATTGCCAAAATTTTTTTAAAAAATGGCTTCAAGAGCAAATAACACTGATTTATACTGTGCCCAAGCACTAGTCAACAAATCTATTAAATTACAGAGGAAAAGGAAATCAAAGAAGCTTTGTTATCTTATGCATGTCACCTTATTTAAATGGAAGGCTTCATCTCTTTAAAGCAACAGGAATATGGAGCTTCCTATATATATATTTATACATATACTTTTTTTAAAGGATGTGATTACAAACACAAAGTGTTATCATCAAAAGCAAAAGCTAGTTCAAGAAATTTCCAACTGCAAAACTTGCAAGATACAAAGCTAAAATTCATATGTTCCTTTTCTCAATTATGAATACTTTCACTAAACATAAATATTTTAACATATATTAATTTTTCTGACATTCAAAATTGTAGTCAATATGGCAGAATTATTGTTAAAAGCACATATGTACAAATATTCTTTTTCCATACATAAAGTATTTGGCATAATTATAATAACAATCATACTGCATCCTCAACTGTTTGCTTTTATTTTTACTTTTTTTTACACATAATGGTATCTCTTATTAAAATTAACCAGTTATGTACAAAAATACTTGAACATTTATTATAGAAAACCTCTATAACCAGCCTCAACAGCGTATACCTGCTGAATGGTTTCATAAGGGAATATAAAAAAGTGGTCACTGCCTTCCAGGTAAGCTATCAACAAAACAAACACAGTTAAACTACAATGAGCTTCCCAACAAAAGAGGGAAAATATTTAACAGTATGATTTAAAATACAGTTCATATCTATTGTCAATTGAGTGTTATAAACAGTCAGTAAAAGGAAAAACAAAGATACAAAATACATTACTACATACAAGGTGCTTGTTTTCACACTCCTACAACTGTGGCATTCGCATCCCTATCTAGATCTAAGATGCTATGTTGCAATATTTAAGCCAGAGCCGTCCACAGCCATCATCCTTCAACAAAAGGACAACAGGATCAGCTAAGAAGACAAGCTCCACTGGTAAGAATGGAGAGTTGTGAGGAATTTTTTATTTTGTGCAGGACTGAAAGTTAATGCCCTTGGCTTTTTAAAGTCCTTTTGCCATTTAATCATGCTAATATATTTTCTCAAAGGTTTTTATCTTCATTTACACTATTGATTTAATACTGTCCTGTATTGATTCCTGAATTCTTGTTAATGGGACACATTAATTTGTGCCTGTTTAATACATGAACATCTGCTCTTCTTCAATGACAAATGTGGTAGAGGAAACTATCAAGTAAGGAAGCACAAGATTCAAGTAAACATTTCTGGGGTCGTTTGCTTAATCTACCCGATTGGAACTCTGAAAGTAAATTGCACCTTAAAAAGAAATACAGTAGATACTATGATGTCAGAGTACTAAAGGATTTACCAACCAATTCACAAAGTAGAGTTTTAAGAATGTAGACAGCTGTCAAATGTCAAAAGCAACCTTAAGAAGTATTCTGTTTCAAGAACAAAACAACTTCCGGTCTCAATCCTTGCAACCCCTTAACTATTTTGTCTAACTAGCCTGCTTCAACTTTTAATTCTGATGATGTGCACTGATCAGTCTGCTCATGGAAAGAGCCAGAAATCTCACCTTATTTACAGATGTCTTCTGCAGTAAAGACCGTTATGTTAGGATGTGCAATGACTTAATAAGCTTTCTCAGAGTATCAAGTATTCAGTAAAAAGTATACAACATTATCACGCATCGTATTGTTTGACAATATTGTTTTTAAGATTAAACTATGTAAAAAAAGGGAACATAAAAAGATACAAAAGGAGTCTTCATCATTATTTACCACTTTCAAATGAGAAACGTTTTAATGAAACTCAGCCATACTTCATATAACATCTGGTGCTTTAGATCAGTAACTTAATATTGTGCAACATTATATTAATAAGCAAGTTTTAATTCCATTTAAAGACAAATCTGAGTACGTTATTAAAGTGCCTACACTAAATATCTTATCATACTTCTTATTCTCCTGTAAACGGCAAAGAATTCATCGCAGGTGAACAGAAAAGTGACTCATAACTGCGAGACCTTCCGTGGCAGGGGCCTGGGCCGCGGCGCGGGGTCAGTCCTCCGGGTCCCATTCTCCAGGTGGCTCGATCGCGCCGCCAGCGGCTTGGGGGGCAAGGCGGGCGGCTCGGCAGTGGGGGGGACGGGAATGGACAGGCTGTGAGGTAGCGGGACCGGGCGCCGCAGAGTCCGCTCGTAGACGCTGTAGGGTGGCGGCGTCTTGCTCTCCTTGCGCACCGGCTCCTCCGGCCCGCTGTAGCACGGCCCCGGCCCCGGCCCTGGCGCCGACGGGTCATTCACCTGATTTTCAAAGCCTGAGGTTTCCGACGTGCTACACCGGCTGAGAGAAGAAATCCCACTGCTGTAGCTGCCCGACAAGACCGGGGAGTTGGAGCTCAGTCCTGGGGAGTGATACTCCACGGGAGATGGGGTGAAGGATTGCACAGAGCCCTGCGCAAGCGGAAAAAGGGAGACAGCAGAGTCAGGAACACTGTGATGGGCTGAACCGCATCCCCCCAAATTCATACATTGAAGCCCCAACCCCTAGTACCTCAGAACGTGACTGTATTTGGAGGCAGGGCTTTTACAGAGGTGGTTATGTGAAAATGAGGCTTTTTGGGTGGACCCTAATCTGATATGATTGATGTCCTTAGAAGAAAAGGAAATTTGCATACAGAGATACCAAAGATGCCTGCACACAGAGATAAGACCCCCTGAAGACAGAAGGAGAATGTGGCCTTCTATAAGCCAAGGAGAGAGGCCTCCGGAGAAACTAAGCCCAGCGGACATCTTGGTCTTGGACTTGTAGCCTCCACAACTGTGAAAAGATAAATTTCTGTTGTTTAAGCTGCCCAGTCTGGGGTGTTTTGTTACGGCAGCCATGAGGGACCAACACAAACACCCAGACTCAAATTTGAGTGTTGTCATTCTCAGCACTGAACATATACGTCAGGCATTTATCTGCCAGGCCCACCATTCAGTCACTCCACCTCACTGCCTCCTTCTTATTTTCAGGATAGAAGATAAAAGTAATCAGAAAGGAAATTCAGAGGCATAGAATTAGTCTCATAATTTGAAAGATAGGGAACTGGCAAAAAGAAAAAAAAAAAAGAAAAACTCTGAGGGTGCCATTTCCCCTTTCTAGCTCAGCAGGGCATGAGCTCAGAACGGTAGGACAGGATGGCAGGACGCAGGGCAGCTTGACAAGCAGGCCGGACTCCCACCAGAGAGCTCAGGAGGAATGAGAGGCACCGCGGGCCTGCATTTGATTACTCTGTCCCAGCGCCGACTCCTGAGCTGACGCTGCACACTGGCGGCCCTCAGGCTCTAGCTTGAGATATGAGCTGCTTCATCTGCAGCGTTTTTAAAAACTTAGTTGCTAAGTCAGGTTTAAACAGGAAGATTTCCCCAAAAACTCCAGATTTCTAGCATTTCGTAAAGAACTGGCAGTTCTAGCAACAATGGCTCACATTCTCTTAATGGAAATAATCTTTTGAAGCTGTGCAGGGGCTGTTCCCTTTAGAGGGAGCATGAATTCCTCCCCACCTGTCCATATAGTATTCTGCCTACCTCCTTCACTCATTTATGTTAGCTCGCTGGCATCTGAATTTGCTACTTCCCCAACTGGTTTCCTAAAGAAAACAAGTCCTAAGAGATGTTCTGAGAAAAGAGGGTTCTGCTGGGAAATGCTGCATACTACATACTCCTTGAGTATATTCAAAGCATATTCACATGTAAAAGTCTTACAGTAAAGAAACCTAAATGACTTCGTTCAGCCCAGTGTTTTCTAAACTTACTTGACCGTAGACCATTTTCCTGTTTATCACATAATGGCCTATCAAACTTTAATGTTCTATGGAACACACTTTGAGAAATGTTGTCCTAGATGAACTTTACCTTGATCTCTTTTTCAACAAATTAATACTGGTAGACACAAATCCTTTCATTTAGCAAGAGCCTAAAATTAAGCATGGCCAGTTAAGAGATCTAAGGGCTGGCCCCGTGGCCAAGTGGGTAAGTTCGTGCGCTCTGCTATGGCAGCCCAGGGTTTCTCTGGTTCGGATCCTGGGCTTGGACATGGCACTGCTCATCAGGCCACGTTGAGGTGGTGTCCCACGTACTACAACTAAAAGGACCCACAACTAAAATACACAACTATATACTGGGGGGGATTTGGGGAGAAAAAGCAGATAGAAAAAAAAAAAAAAGATTGGCAACAGTTGTTAGCTCAGGTGCCACTCTTTAAAAAAAAAAGAAAAGAAAATCTAAATTCCCTGCTGTTTTTGTCAAAAATGAGACTCCAAGTTCAAAATCAGGCATGTAAGCTCAGTCTTCTCCACAGGGTTAACTCCATCATGTAATTGCTGACAAAACTCTCAGTTAAGGCAGCAACGCTGCATTCTAATCACAGCAAAGTCAGTAACTTGGTAGCAGTGTGCCCTCTAATGAAACCCAGGAGTTACAACACCGATGTTCCATCCACTTTCTCTTCAAATTCTGTTTGTAAAGCTGTAGCTACAAGGCTGCATCTGGCCAGTAAGAACATACGCAGGTCTGCAGGGAGATGGTATACACCACCTTGCTAACTAGGACTATTTTGTAGCTACTTGAACATTTTCATCCCTTCAGTTCTTTTTATTTTTAAAGAATCAATCTCCAAGACTCTTATCATCGTACTACTACTCTGCAAAATCAAGTTGAAAAATGCAGATATTAATTCCATAGAAAGATGCGGGGGCTCTTTGTGAGTACAGGTAAATGTAAAGCTGCAGAAACACCACGTTGCCTTCCTTCCCATCACATCAAGATGACAGCCCGTGGCCACCACAGCGAATGCAGTCGCACATACTTTATGTTTAACGGCTGCACTGCAGAATGACAACAAAACTAGCAAGTAATTTGCACTCACCAGCAAATTTCTACATCAGAAACGTTGGCAATGCAAATGAAATCACACTTCTTTGCATATTTCTCCATCTTTTTGGCTTTGTTTTCCAGATTCTCAATTTCTGTCAGCAACTATCCTTAGCACCACAGATGTATCAGATCACGACCTGCCCCTCTTGTGTTTGTAGAAGGTAATTTGTCTTTTTCTTTCACATTAGCTGGAAATATCTCATCAACAAAAGGACATGGAGCATGTAAATCCTAAGTCACTTGGGTACAAAATCATTCTTTCAATGCTCACTTCAACCTCATCTTTGCCTCTGGTGCGGTAGCTCTGAACACCAACATCTATAGGTATGACAATCCTTGCGGCCAGTCTGATTCAATTTGGATAGAGACTAAATATTATTCTTTACCTTCATGAGGAAGTTTGTATGTTTAGAGATGTTAACTAGCCTACGTCTACACACTAATTCAAATGTCTCACCTTTAAAGCTTTCCAGTTTGTTCCCCAGAATTTTTTAATTCATTTTACTGCTTTGTTTTTTATTATCAAGTATGGTTTTTGTTTTTTTGGTGAGGAAGATTTGTCCTGAGCTAACATACATTGCCAAGCTTCCTTTTTTTTTTTTGGCTTGAGGAAGATTAGCCCTGAACTAACACTGGTGCCAATCTTCCTCTATTTTTTGCATGCAGGATGCTTCCACAGCATGTCCAGTGAGTGGAGTAGGTCTGCGCCCAGGTCCGAACCTGCGAACCCGGGCAGCCGAAGCAGAGCACATGGAACTTTAACCACTTGGCCATGGGGCCCGCCCCATGAAGCATGTATTTTGAATATAAATGAAAGCTTTACTTATTCTCTAAAATATTCAAAGAGAAAAAGTTGGGTTCAGCTTTGTCAAAACGAGTGAGGCTTACCCTAAAGGCAAAAAGGCACAGGAGAATACTAAGTAGATCTTGATTATTGATGTTTTTCAATTGAAGTGATTTGTTTTGGGATGTCTCTTAAACCAAAAGACCAGGCCGAAAACGTCCTGGGAGATACTCTGGGGCCATATTTCTTTCCTAATTTCTGGTCTGTACATTCTCATTGCCACCATTTGGAGAATGGGGCTAATAATCTTAGAACAAATGGCTACATTCCCAGAGAAGGCTCCCTAAAGGGAAAGCCTAGTGTTGTTTGCTCCCCATCCTCTTCTACCCCTTCTTCATGTGCTCTTTGCCTGGTCTGTGCAAATGAAAGCCCCTCACTGATGCACCGGGGATGAGTCTCGGAAAAAAGGAACGTGGGGCCAGTACATTTAGCCTCAGTCTAAAGAAAGGCCTGTACCTTCAATGGAGATCGCCCGGCAGGTGAGGGGGATACTGGTGTCGTGGGTCTTGCTGGTGAAGCTGTAAACAAAGAGAGATCATTTCAATTAGGAAAAACCAGATGGTTGACTATCTGCAGATACCCTCTGTGTGTATAAACCCATACAGATGATGCAGTGCATAAGGATCTCCTAGGCAAGGGGGCGAGGGGGAGAATCTAAATGATGCCTGTCCAAAACAGATTCCTCTCAAAGGATGGCAGCACCCAGACATGGGATAATCAGGGAAAAGTCACCAGAGCATACATGATGCTTTAACCAATGTGACAGGGCCCCAAACTAGTCCAGTGTCCCTTCCATCTCCCCAAAGTTCAGATGCTTCTGCACTGCTTGATCTATTTCAAAAGGTGCTTTTAGGTGGGAGGTGCCAGGGAGCAGTCCTCAGAAAACAGCCTAGGCAACTTTGGCCTGAGCAACGGGAAGATCAAGGTCACCTAGTCAGCTTAGAATAGATCCATGGGAATACATTTATACAAGCCTCCCTTTCACATCCCCAATATTCCCCAAACAGACAGAAAACCCTTGGCCACATCCATACGAGAGGTGAGAAGTTTTCCACCTCTCCCCCTAATGCCTGTACTCAGGTGTTCCCTTGTCCTCGGGGCTGGTACTCCATGGAGTTCATCATCATGGCAAAGAAGAGCTCTCTCTCTGTTTCTCCCACTAGATTTTCAAGTCCTACACCTGGGACACAGCATATGTGATGGCACTGTTTTGTGTGTCTGCTTGTGGAACAAATCCAGCTCTCTGAAGCATCGCCATGCACTCTAAGAGCCTGCTGTGACACAGTCAACACTGAAGCGTCAGCCAGATTTCCCAATTCCACCTACACAGGTTTCAGTGAGTTCAGGGTTTATTGCTCTGTGATGAGCTGCCATTCTCCCAGCTGTCACAGTGAGGTTTGTAACTCTTAAGAAAACTACAGAAAGGCTGAAAGAAAGACAGACAGTTACAGATCCCCCCAACAGTGACCACAGACGATGACATGAGGACAGACCATGAAAGCAATCAGTGCAGAAGGGAAGGCAGCCCTGCCACGTTAACTTGGGAGAGGTGAGGTCATCTGCATGCTCTGGGTCTTAAGGGATCAGGGAGAAGGGTCCAATATCACACTGTGGGGTTGTGCAGTCTCCCTCTTGCATGCTAGGGCATGCTGTCAGTGTGTGTCATGTTCCAACACCAGTGTTAGTTCTATCCCATCAGTCGTGGGTGTTGATTACGGAGGGAAATCACGTATGTATAGAGAAGCCAATCCTGATTGGGAACTGTAAGATTTACTGTTGCTTGGGGCCCTCCCCTCTTCCTCTTGACTCAGGCGTTCACTGACACCACCACTGTGAACTCCACAGCAGCCCCTGCACCCACTGTGTGTTCACAGAGATGTTTCTCTAGAAAGGCATTCTCCCCCAGAGACCTAAAATAATTCTATCAGTATCCTTGTCTACAAGTTTGACTTGGCCTAGGAACCGAACCACCAATATTACTGTTCCTTAGAAAATGCTTTTCAAGTTCCCAACTTTAGGGACACAACTAGGTTTAACTGGAGAGTGCCTGAATATATGTACATCATGAATAAAATACACATTCTTGGTTGATGAGTCTTCATCTTCCATGGTCTCACTAATGCAGACTATCAATTAAGCCTAAAGTTATTTCCTGTTTTGTTTAAAGATTTCACATGCCTTTCAAAACCTGTTGGTGACTTCTAGCTTTGGTAAGTATGGAACAAACTGGGTAACATAGTTTACTTTAAAAAGAGGGAAAGTCAGTTTACTTTTCTTAGTTTAAGGGGAAAAAAAAAGATGAGATACTAAAACACAGCCAATGAAACATGATCAACCCAGAAAAAATCCATGAAGGAATAGTGTCATCTTGTCTCTTGCCTAAGGCCAGTTATATTTGTGAAGCTTCAAAGCTACTCTAGACATAGGTAAGTGTTGAAAAGACTCTCCCCACCACCAGGATAGGTAGAGTCAGTAAAGTAGGTCAGGTTCCTCTTAAAGACTGCACCCTACTTAGGTCACCAAGCAAATAGCTTGTTCAGGAGGAAGGGGCCTGTTATTGCTAAAACTCACAAAGGAAGTTTCTTAAGAATAATTTTCAGTGGCTCTCAAAATCTAGAAAGGGTTAGTAAAATACAGATTCTAAGGTCTTACGCCAGAAATACTGAAATTCTGATTCAGTAGTCTGAGATTAGGCCCAAGAATTTGCTTCTTAAACCACTCCCCCAGGGGAGGCAATGCCCTGAACCAACCCTTTGAGAAACAGGAGTCTTGAAAACAGATCTCTCTAAGCAACAGATAGCTATGGATACAACGCTAGTTGGTCCCCACAAGCCTATTAAAGTTACAGTTAGTCAATTCCTATTTAGGGGCAACCTTAAACCCTTACATGAGCCCCAAATAAGACTGAACAAAGTGGCTGAGTTAGCATAAGAATGAGGTGGGTAAAGCGAAGCACAGAGAAAATGCTAGTGGCTTAGCAAGGTTAGGATACCTCCCCACATTTTGAGATGGTGCCTTGGAGGAGAACATTCTACAAAATCTGTCTGTGGGGTTTATTAGGAACGGAGGACTGTTTGACTTCGTGTACCAGAAGCTCAGGAAAAAGGGACAACACTGGAAATGAATTATGCAGTTACTAAGGTTTTTACCTCAAACACCAAAATGCCTACCTTTCTCTGAGGAATTCACGACAAACTGAAGTAGTCAATAAAAGTTATCTGATAAAAGTGATTGTTCAAATGCTTCAAATACCCACCAGTCTGTGTGGGTCTTGGAGGGACAGGGGGAGAGATAAGCTTCCCACTATCCGACATGTTCTTGGCTTCTTTCCCACTGTCCAGGCTCCAGCTGCTAGGGGTGGGATTCACAGCTGGAAGGGAATAACACAGCTAAAAACACATGGTCCACTCTGCCCTTCAAACGCTTGAGATCTTAAAAGAAAGAATTATCCAGAATAAAAAAAAATAATAACTGGATTTAAAAAAAAGCCAGGAAACCTAACTACTAAAGCTTTATTTAATTGCCTACCTCACAGTTATAGTTGACATTTAACTGGGTGACAGCACGTCTCTTTATTTCCCTCGAGCAGTGAAGCAGAACTACAGATCTCTACACTAGACTAGAAATGTTGAGAATGACAAATGCATCTAGATGTGGGTAACAGATGGAGATATAGTCATTATTTTAAAACTTGTTTTTTAGTGGAAATTTCTGGACAAGGGGCACCCAAAAAGGAGGAAGGCAATGACATGCTAATATTTCAACTGTTTGGCAGAATTATTGGGATGGACTAGCCACTCTACAGTGTGCTGTTGATCAACTCTTTGAGGAAAAGACCCTTGTTCCTGAAATCATTGGATTATACTGAAATACGTCCTAAAAGAAAAATTTGGAATACTGACAGTCTTATTCCTTTTCTGTAATTTGCCTGTTCCATGCTTCAGTAAGATGCAGAAACATGGAACAACCCTGTTAGGAACAAGGGCAAGACACACAAGGTTATAAATAGCCACTATGCAATGAGTTTTACAAGAGCAAGTGTTGCAGGTGGCCGTGGCCTGCTCCCTGTACAGACACTGCCACCTGATGGACATGTCTAGGATTTCAACATTTTACCATTCTTTAAAGCATGGCATTCATTTAATGGGATGGAATTACCACTCTTAGAATCCTTTTTCTCTGTTCCTCTTAAATGTGCCTTGTGGTTTTCTTTGGTAGAGGGGTGATAAAAATACCCCATTCTTAAGTTCTCTGGACAAAGATCAGTATTTGACTTGTAACATTAAAGCAGAATTTGTGTTCTAAAATAATTTTGGCCAGGGTCTTGCTAATTTTGATCTCCCAAGGAAAGTTTTAATGTTAACTTATTGGTGTACTCAAATGACAATACAGTCTAGTTCTAAATGAGGGCAATTAAAGCGCACTTTATGGGGACATTTCGTTAGTGACTCTTGATTCATTGGCTCGTGGGACGGCTCCGAATTTTGAGGCTTGACCCCAAGAGAGGCAAACGGGTGACTTGCTGCAAGCCCCCCACCCCCAGCTGAGGAAGTCACATTTAGTCTGCTCTGCATCTTCCGCTGTGTTGCACAGACTGATGCTAACTGGCTATTAACAGCTATGCGCGTGTTTGTTTCTCATTTTTTGTGTGACCTTGCAGCAGGGCACACTCCATTATGCACTGGATTGCAACTCTTAAGTAGTATTTGAGTCACCACAAACAACAGATGAGCTGGCAGAATGAGCTTTGTAAGGGAGATGAAGGGTGGGACCAGGGAATCAATCTGGGAAGGTGCTGTTTCCACGGTGCTGAACAAGTAGCCTAATTGGCAAAATTTGCTTCAGGAAGCGCGGGAATTGCCTCAGTGACTCGCTGAATGACACCCATAGCCAGTGAACAGAGGAGTGCCTAACTTGCTCAGATTCTGCTGTTAAATCCTACAAGAAAACAGTTTTTAAAGAATGCATCATGAATGACTGTCTTCATTAATCCCTTAAAGAGCAAATTAGTCCTGATCATTAAAGATCTGGAGACCTGCCTTCCACAAAGACACATGGAAGACTGGAGAAAATGAGAACAAAACAACCCCTGACACATTCCAGGACTGATGAAGGGGCTGGCTTTACACCCACCTTTCTCAGGCGCAGAAAGATTTGGGTCGCTGCGTGGCAAGGCCCCGTCTCCAATGTGGTTAAACAGCAGCCTCTGGAAGGGACAACAGCCTATTTTTATGATGCAATATGCTGACATGGGAAACCTTTTAGAAAACGAGATAATTATCTCATTACTGAAACTTTTTGTTCAAAATAATTTTTATATGGTGTATGATGAACCTAGGAACAAAAAATTTAATTATATTTAAGGAAAAAAGGGGAGAAGAGCCTTGGATTTTGAGAAAGAGAACACAGTGTTTAGAAAGTTTGTATTAGATTTTAAATATAAATGGTAAATAAGTTTTCATAATAGAATGTAGGGAAAAATAAATAATAACTAGCAGTGAAGCTCTGGTGCTCTTTATAAAGATAAAGGCTAGACTGGCAATATGAAATGCAAATAAATAAGAATTAAAGGAGAAATATTAGCAAAAAAAATCTCTAGTGAATGGATTTCACATTTTAAATCCAAATTAGGTTAAAATGTATGAAATGGTCAACAATATTCTACAATTTTTAACCCACAAAAATGCCAGTTTTACATGGTTCTACCTAATATATTAAAAGAAAAAGCATGAGTCCTTAAAAGTAGGTGTGCCATGGCAATGTGTATTATTGAAGTTTTGGCAACATACACACTGCTTCAAATTTTACCAAAAGTGGGACACTTGGGAGGCTAATCATGGAAGGCTCTCAGAGCCCCGATGCTGGCAACATGCTCTCCAAGAGCAGATGGGACAAACTGTGAAATTCCCTTGCAACATCAAGTGGCAAAGGGAAATGAAACTGGTGAGCTGGTTCAGCCAAACGCACTCAGCTATAATTTCTGCGAGACACCAGTGCTGTGCAGATGAGGTATCCTGGGACTTCCTGGAAGATCACACAATCAGCAAAGACAAAGCAATCAAGCCAATTCCCACTCGCTCTCATCCATTTCCAGATGCAGCTACAGACTTCTGCCAGGATGGTGTAGAAAAACAGAGAAATTAGCTGGAGTATAAATAGCTACTGTTCTCTGCTCCTGAGTTATTCCCCAATAATCGGTACAACTCAGGGATACTCTTGAATCTTCAACTTTGAAACCACTCTTCAAAGCCCTTGAAGTGCCCAGAGGGCCAGGCCCTTGCTCAGACTAAAAGGGATCACTTCAAAACGAAGTCCAGGCCGGAGGTGACGGCCGTGTTCCCTTACTCCTGAGGAGCGCAGGGAACGCCGAGGACTCAAATGCTTCTCCCTCCATGCGTTAGAGAAGAATGGCAAAGGCAAATGGAAATGGCCCCTGCACCCTTGGGGACCTCACAAAGGAATCAACTGCAGCTCTCTCAAACTAGGCAGAGGCCAAAAGGAAGACTGCCGGGCAGACCTTGCTTCTCCTCAAGGGTCTTTTGCTAATGTGAGAAGTTTCTCCAAATTTCTACTACACACACAGACACACACCCCAGCTCATTCGCCCCATTAGCCCCGGTAATGTTTAAAGTAAAGTAGCAACATGAAATGCAGTCAGATCCAGGAGGGTAAAATCATTTCCCAATTTTCCTCTCAGCTTTACCGCCCAGGCAACAACCCCTGTATCTGCATCAGAAATAGGGCTCAAACCAATTCCTAACAAGAGGCACAGAACAGAGGTTCACTCTTCACCCAGCTGGAGCTGTTGTCTCCCAGGACCTGCTGTCACAGCTGGGTGCCTCTGGCAGCTACAGCGTGTTTCTGCGGAGATATGTAAGCAATTCCAGACTTTTCCTTGTTTTCTAGTATCGCCATCCTGCAAGGACTACCTGAGAAGGCTCCACAGGTGTTGGATAGATGGCACTGCATGGTCTCTCTCTTGGGGACAGGCAAGAGTTTTCTCTGGAATGTTTGTGTTTGTCAGACAACAAAGGAGAAGCTGGGAAGAGAAGGAAAGAAAGCATCATCAGTGAGGTGGTGGTGCTGGACCTGTTGGCGGGAGAGGGCTTGAGTGTTGTGACAGCGGCCACAGTTTAGGAAATTGAAGCCACAGCTCCTGGGGGCTGGAAGGCTCTCTAAGCATCCTTAGTCTACCCCACACCCTGGCACTGACCTCTGGCACTCGATGGAGCAGAACTTGTCACATTAGGCGAAGCTGAGTGAGTAGAGCTCAAGCTTGAGGTAGATGGACTTGGCTGGAAATACATGGGAGCTGTTATCACACACTGCTCAGAGGCTCCAGACAACACTGAGGCGTTTGAAACAAGATCACTGACATTTTTTTTCAAATTAGCAATAAATAAACAAACAAACAAAAAGAAAGCAAAAGGCCATTTAGAAATATAGAAAAATCTCACTGACTCAGAGTGATAAGGAGGCCTGTCTGAATTAATCAAGAATCCAAGATTTGGACTCCTGCCAAAGGAATGCATTCGTGTTGGTTTCAGCTACATACTGTGACTTGGGACCAGGAAGCAGTGCACCTCTTTCTAAAGTCCAAGCAGAAAGACTCCCAGCCGAGGGCATGTAAACAGGTGAGTGCTTCTCAAAGGCAGGGAATACACCTTCTTATGTTCTCCAAAAATGTGTTCAAAGCATGAATTTGGTAATATGGCTTATGCCCCTTCTCCAAAGATAGTGGTGAGGAAGATTTCAGCTTAGTCTTACTGAATTATTATAAATTCTTTATTAGTGGTGTCTAAAATTTTTTTGTTGCAAGAGTTACAACTCTTTTTTTTTTTTACTGACTCTAAAATCCCTAAAAACTATATGTTCTACTTTCATAAAAAACTTTATATTATGGAAATTTCCCAATATGTACAAAAGTAGTGAGATTTTTAGAATGGACCCCTAAACCCTGTATTCTTAAGGAAAAAAAGCCACTTAGAAATGCTAAGAGGCAGGTAGGATGTGGCGACATGCTCCAGGAGTCCTGGACTGAAGAACCACATCCGAGGTAGGTCTCAAAACTAACCCCCGCACCGCTCGCCTGGGCTTTCCCATTGCTGGCTCATGTCTTCTTAGAGTGGATGGGACAGTTCTGAGAGGAGCATCTTTGTAGACTCCAGAGACCAAGATAGCCATGAGAGTGTTTAAAGGTCTGTCCTTAAGTCAAGTTCTTGCTCGTAGGTCTGTTCCTTAGCACGGCAGACTGAACAGAAACTCTCATGATCGAGACAGAAAAGGAATCAACACGACCAGACAAAAAGCTAATCAAGTACCTGCATGTTAAAGACTTCATCAGAGCTTTCTGATTGCCCTGTAATATTGCTTACTTCAGCAGAAGCTTGTGAGGACAGTGAGGAGGAAGAGTATCGGTTGACAGCTGGGTAACTTAATGGGCTGTTTCGGGGAAAAAAACATGGTCATTAACTCAGTCTCTGAATTATACTTTCTCACATGCTGGCATGGTATAAAGCCTGAGGAAAAAATATACATCCCATTTTGTTGTCTCCTGTTTGCCTCAATATAATCAAATGTTTGAGTTTATTTATTTATTTCTCATGCTGTTGCTGTTTTACCAGTGGCAGATGTCTGCAGCTGCCTCGCGGGTTAATTATTTCATTACGAAATAGCGTGTTTGACAAATTGTGCCATAAAGAATGAGAGAATCATTCCAGATCATCTTGTGGGGATGCCAGAGTGTAAGGTAATTCAGAATATGACTTACCTGCGTCTAGGAATTACCCTGGTACCATCTGGGCTCATAGAGGCAGGTGCTGAGTTTCTACACACGCGAGGGCTTCCATTAGGAAAATGGACTGGACTGGCTTGTATACAAGCAGAGAACTCCTAAAGATGCAGTAAAGAAAAATATTTTAGAAGAGGAATTATATGGGCAAAGTAACTCGTGAGATATTTTAGTATATTAGATACACATTGTAATCGTCATGAAATCTTCACATAGGGCTATTAAGATAAGTCTCAGTATTATTAAGGTTTCTCTCACTCTTTTGTTTTCATAGAAGTTGAGTGTGGAAAATAGAAGATAATGCAATTTTAACATTTGAGGGCTCCCTGATAAAAAGGTGCAGTTTGGTAGAAAAACCAAAAGATGTCAGTATTGGATACTTCATCATCATCCTTTTAACAAAAAGCAAGTGGCAGTGGTCAGACTGCCCCCTATGGACACTCTGTACGTACCTGTATCCCCAAGCTCGACTTCATCACAAAGAACTGGTCGACCAGCTTTTTGTGAAGGGGCCTCATATCTTGAGGCACAAACTTCTCATGCACGGCCAAACCAAATTCCAAAATCTGTGCCTTGATAATAACATAAGGAAAAAATCCACATCAGTGAGCAACTCCCTAAGTGCCTGCTAGGGATCAAGCACCATACCATACATTTTGCATGCATTATTGCTAATCCTCTCAATCTGACAAGATAGGAACAACCCTTAACTTACAGGGAGGACACTGAGGGTCAGAAAAATCCTGCATGTAGTAAAAGACCAATAGGGATTGGAATTTAGGGCTGATTCCGAAGACTTGATTTTCCCACTACCCTAAGTTTCCTTGCCATGTATTTTAGATCTGTAACAACAATCCTTTTAAACAGTTATGTGGCCGTTGGCCCCCTCTTGAGTTTCCCAGGATGGGGCAGGAATGGGGGCAGGAGCTGTTCCCCAACGGATCTCTTTTCTGGATGGCACCCCCTTTTCCACATTACTTGTCTTTCTTCCATCAGTTTCTTGGGTGCCCATCCCTACTTCCCCCAGATTTTTCAAATCTGTCAAGGAAGAAGTAAAAAATGAACAGGAATTCTATAATAGTTGCTATGCTTCTTGTTTTTGTTAGAAAATATTATTCTTGTTCACTTATTATAACACAACATAGAGCAGCTCCTACTTTAAAAAAAAAAAAGGTTTCCTGCCATGAGGACCCCAAAAGAGATGAACATAAACATTCACGTTTCCTTTCTTCAACTCTCAGTAGTGCTGAATTCCTTTGATTTGAGTAGCAACTGTCTCACATTTTATAAAATGCCCCATGCTAAAGTGGTCAAAAGAACAAATTTCATAGACTAGGAGGAAAGCAAATCAGAAATCACAACTTTTATCTTTACAGTTTGTGAAGATTCAAGACTGAAAGCCCGGTCAAATAGGACTGACCTCAGGGGGTTAGAGCATCTAGCACCTTCCCTAAGGGGACAGGACTGTGCCACTCCCACCTACTGCCAGCACATTTGTATAAAGATAAAAATATCTTGAAATAAACATCAAGGACACCTTTGAAAGGAATAGTTTGAGGGAGTGTGTGTTTGAGGCATAAAGGGAGCGTCTGATCTCTGTGATGTGAGAGTGGAAGGGACGCAGGAGCTGAACCTACATGTAGGAGCCTCCAGTCTTCTTGATTTTAAACACTTGTTGTTTGATGACCTCCCTTTTGCCCAAATAATGTTGTAGGTTGGGTTCTCCCAGAAGGAGACTCTGACATGGAGATTAGGACGTTTATGGGGGAATACCCTTGGGATCACTGCCTGTTCAGGGGAGGGACAGAAGCAGGATTTGACAAAAAATGTTGAGCTGCGTGGCAGTCCTGTCAGCCTCTGCCGACACCAGGGGAGCTCTGGACCTTTTAATGGTCTGTCAGAGTTGGGCTGTGTTGGGTCCAAGTGGTCAGGCTTTATATCTCCTCCTTAGTCACTGACTGTGGGCCAGCCAGGAAGGTGTTGATCTCGGGTCAGGTGGCTCTTTGTGGCTGAGGCAATCCCTGAAGGACCTGAGAGCCAAAGCTGTCTGTTGAGGGCCACCACTCCCAGCAGCTGGGGCAACAAGTCCTTTTTGACTTCTGCATCTCTGTGTCTACTAGGTAAGGTTATCTGAATCACCTCAAGAAGTCCAGATGAGGATGGTGCCCTCGCTAGCCCAACTCTCTACTACTAAGGTCCCACAAAAATGATGTGACTTGCCCAGGGTCACATGGCAGTCACTTGTACTGCTTGTCCTATGATAGAGAGCCAACATTTCCTAGGCCATGGCTCTTTCCACAAGGCCCCAGGAACACAGGCAGGCTGTGGAGGAAACAAAGTTTCCCTGATTTTATTTTTCTTGAGAGGTTTCTTGGCCTTTTTAATTTTAATTCTGGAGAAAGAATTCAGTCAGACTGAATATAGCAGGTAAGAGCCCTGGGGTGAGGCAAAAAACTCACAAGGGACTGTGCTTGGGTTAAATACAGATTTTTAAAAATCAACAAAGGCTAACATCATTCCATAATCTTAAGCATTAGATAACCTAAACGGCTCACTTCTAGTTTCTACGTCACTCCCAGGGCCACACTGAGAACTTAACTTATTCTCTATTTCCTTGCAGGTCAACTCAAGTAACTCCTTTCTCTTTTCCAGAAGCTGTACAACTGACCCCCTTCCAGCCATGGCCCTTGTCCATGGCCACGTATTAAGTTCTGTGGACCGAGCCTACAAAGCATAAAATATGAACTAAAATCAGATACAACCTCATCATTTTCTAATCCAAAGGGGCAAGCTTTATGTGTTTATTAACTTTGGTATTATCAAGTGGGAAGAGATGCTTCTGTCACATTTTATCACCCATATTCTATTTCTCACGGGTATAAAATGTCTCTATTTCCTATTTAACCCAGACTTCCAACCATAATGTCTCCTACTTCAGAGGTTTTCAAACCATTTGCAGGCCAAGAGCTATCAATAGGAAACAGCAGGCAACAGATTACTCACTCCAGTTCTTCATACTTGATGGAACCAAATAAATAAAAATAAACTATGCTTCTTTGGAATAGAAAATGATTAGATTGTATCTAGTTTTGTCCATATCACATCATCTATAGGCTTAGTCTGCAAAACATGATACTGTTTTAAAGCAGAATCGATTGATTGCCCATTTCCTTCTTACAACATTTAAGTAAGAATCTTATTCATTCATCCACTCATTCATTTATCTGGAGTTGGCCTGAACTTATTTGAGCTCAAAATTTTGAGTGAAAAGTCGGCATCAAGCAAGTCTCCTGGGAGAGAATGTTCAAAGAACATTCCAGGAGACTACACGAAGTTATTTGTTACAAGGGGCGGCCATAGTCTACTCGTTGTTAAATTTATTTTTGCAGCCAAGTGGCAACAAAAAGTGGAAATCAGCAAGTTGGGATACATTACTGGTGAATCTGTCACCCTTCACTTCCACCAGCTTGATTTCTACACCAATGCAGATCACCATGTAGCTGGGGCTCTGGACAGGCAAGCACATGGCTGGGCGGGAGACAGACCCTTACCTGCTCAAGCATCAGCTCTCTTAACCGTGCAATCTTCTCTCCATCTTCAGGGTGGCTTAAGATATATTCTTTGACAAAGAATGCCTAGTAAGAGAAGGGATAGTCAGTTTACTTCAAGAGAGTCACAAAGGAAGTGAAATAGTTGTTTTTAATGACCTGGTATGTTTAAAGAAATGACACCATTATAAACAACGTTTAGAGGGCAGATGGAGTAATTCGTAGTGTGGGCAGCTGATCAGATGGGAATATAAGGAATAGATTGTTAAAGGGAGATCATAAATTGTATAATAAGTATTTTTTGAAAAACAAACAAACAGCAAATCTAAATCAATAAGCTTTATGGCATTATATCCTAAAAATGCCTTAAGATTCAGTGTGGCCAAGATGGTGGCCTCACCTTCCAACCTATTGTGCCTTTTTGTTTAAAACTCAGAGGGCAGATGAAAAGTCCACTTAAAGTATCTTCTATACAAGATCAGACTTTTCCATGCCCATGAACCTCTTCGCTCAGGGAAATGATTTCAGGTAAGACGTTTGTTAAACAGTCCTGATACCCTTACTGCTTTTATTCATCCAAGAACAGACACTCACACATTTTTATCCTCAAAAAAATCACATATTGGGAAATGGTGTAAGTATGCATCACAAATGACTACGTTTGCTCTATTTATTTAACAAAAAGAACTGTGTCAGCTGTAGCCCTATGTCAGCATGCTAACATGTTTATGTATTAACATAACATTTTATATTAATAAAATACGATGCGAGTACAGATTTAAAAAAAAATATTTCTAAGACCCTAAGAAATCACATCTGAAAACTTTCAAACAATGCCTAATCCTTACCTCCTGATACCTGGAAACTCCACCATTAACTGCAGCATCTATAACTCCATTCAGGCACATGGTCAGGGGATTAATATTCTGCATCTGTCTTGTCTGACACTGACTAATCAGAGTCTTCAGCTGCTGATTTTTATTTTCCAGCACTTCGATTGCATTTTCCAGAGGACTCATCTCTACCTGAGAAGCAAATGAGCATAAGTATATATTGGATTTTGTGACATTCGAGAAGAAAGATAAAGTAGATTACTCTGTTCTGAATTATCTTTGTTCCCCTTTGGCTCCCATCAATATCTCTACCTAGGGCCATCAGTAGAATAGACAGGGATGTGGAAGACAAATTACCTCTTCGATAATGAGGTCTGGAAAGGGAAAGTGATTATATCCATTGGTTGAAATGTGGTTTAGATAATCAGCAGTCATCAATTATATATTAGCACTGCAACAATCAATTTAATCCTTAAAAGAAAATCCAAGCATCTCATGTCTTTTAAAACTTGTTTTTCTTTTCTTTTGAAGGGCTAAATACTCAGGGACCCTGCATATTATTATCACTTTCTAGATGCTTTCTTAATGTAAGCATCTTAACGGGAGATATGAAGATGCATTTACAGATCTGATGTCAAGGAGCTTTCAGCCCAGTTGGGAAGATGGGACGTATGCCCATATGGACCCCATATGCATATATAACAGCACCATAAGGTGGCACAGGATGGCACACAGTTGGGAGTTATAGAAAATAAGATAATCATATACGCCACAGGATCTATTTGTTGAAGGAGAGCCAAACAGAATCATAATGACTTAAAAATTCTGGGTTGCATGGGGGACCTAATGGTGAAAATGATGAAAGTGCTCTTCAGATGTACAGCACTGTGACTGTTACTGTCATTGACATTCTATTCTAGACAAGGTCTGCCAAGCTCTCAGCTGTGCAGTAATTCAAGCGTACCATAAGCACATTTAAATATTGGTTCTTTCAGTTAAGGAAACAAATTAAGAGTTTTTAAAGGTCACTTAGATCATCTTAAGGCAACACTGAAAAGTATTAGAATAATGTGACTATGTCAAAATTAGGAATACACATTCATCAAAAGACACTATAAAGGAAAGAGAAGCCAGAAAGTAGGAGAAGAAATTTGTAACATGTAAAACCATCAAAAAGCCTATGTCAAGAATATATAAAGAACTCTTACAAACCAATAAAAAAGGGAAACAACCCAATAAAAAAATGGGCAAAAGACTTAAATGGCCATTTTACAAAGGAAGAAACCCAAATGGCCAGTAAACATGTGAAAAAGTGTTGCACCTCATTTGTGATCAAAGAAGTAGAAAATAATACCACAGTAACATACTATTAAGCACTCACCAGAATGGCATAAATAAATATGGCAATAGCAAATGAGGGTGAGAATGTGAGCAACAGAATCTCTCAGTTCCTGCTACTGGAAGTTCAAATTGGTTCAATCACTATGGAAAACAGTTTGGCATTATTTACTAAAGTTGAAGATATACATATAAATATATATAAGTATATGTGTGTGTGTGTACATACATATATATATTATATTTTACAGTCTAACCATTCTATCCCCAGACATATATCTGAGGAAAAATGAAGTAAGAGATATGTGTACATGTGTACCAGGAAACATGTACAAAAATGTTCACAATCACCTCCAAAATCCATATGTCCATCAATAACAGAATGCATAAGAATATTGTGGCATGTTGATTCAATGGAATAGTATACAGCAATGAAACAAACGTCAGTCATATGTAATAATATGGACTAATATTATAAATAATCCTGAGTGACAGAAGCAAGTTACAATAGAATATACACAGTATGACACTGTGACATAAAGTTCAAAACTAGGCAAAACTAAATAGATTTGTTTAGAGAGGCATTTATGGGAATGGATACCATAAACGTCAGGATAAGGGAGGGAGCTGTACTTGAGAAAGGCTGCATGGGAGGCCTCTAGGCTACTAATGACAATGTTCTGTTTTTCTTTACCTGAGTGGTGGTAACAGGTACTTACTTTCTAATTATTTGTGGCATTAAACCTTTGTTTTACGATGACAAAAGCTAAATAATGAAGGAAAAGTCTGAGAGCTCTGATTAACTGAATGTTGCAAAAGTAAACAAAACGTCTCAGAAAGAGAAAGCAGAACAGTGGTTGCCAGGGGCTAGGGGGAGGGGGAACAGGGGAATTGTTGTTCAACGGATACAGGGTTTCAGTTTTGCAAGATGAAAATGATCTGTCACACAACAATGTGCATATAGTTAACATTGCTGTACTATACACTTAAAAACGGTAAGACGGTAACTTGTGTTTTTGACCACAATTAAAAAAAAAAAGAAATTCACGCTCACCTTTACACATTCAAATGCTATTAATATGAAAATTTAAAAAGTAAACAAAACACAATGCAATAAACACAGGCAAAAGACAACAACTTGGGAAGATATTTCCAACATATATTACAGAGGAAGTATTAATATTTCTCAAACACCAAAGAAAATGAGACAAAAGATATGATTGATGCATTCACAAAAGAAATAGAGTAAATACATGAAAACATATCTTTTCTAGCATTCAACAAATGCCAAAAAAACAAAAATCCACTCTAGTATGATCATTTTTGGTCTATTATTTCAAAAAATTAAAACAATATACATCACCCAGTGTTGGAGAAGGTGACGGGAAAATGGGTATTTCTAAGAACACTTATCCACCCAGACACAGCAAAAACCGATACACGTCATCGTTGATCCATGAATCAGAGGGTAAACTGCAGACCCTTTGATAGATCAATTCACTTGTAGGGAAGTTATCTAAGACAGTCAAAGAAGCGTGCAAAGCATAATGTGTATACAAAATGTTCATCGAAGAATTATTTTCCTCCGGCTCCCTAAAAAGAATCAGGAGTCATTGGAGAAATGGTTGCTTTCAGGTCTGGGCAAGGAGATGTACAAGTGAGCCAGGATACCTTATCATACCAATAAGCTAGGAAGGCAGCTGGGAGCAAGGCATTACAGCAGCTGGGCGGGGTCCACTCACTCTCTTTACTGGGGGAATGTCCTTGGGGAACAGAAAAGGCAGGTGACCTGGTCTTACCTCCCTGTCAATTGAACCTTCAAATAAACAGATTAAAACTAAATGCTAGAAGGAAGAAATGTTATCTACAGAATGCCCTTAACAGGAAGTCTCCAGCTAAAGGATTGCATACAGTAAATCAACCAAGAATCCACGAAACGTGATTCCCTAAAGAATGTCTCTGAGAAGCTTCATAACTCTTTAGAGTACAAAATGGAAAGCTGCATAATTTAAATGTGCCCCACATATGAGGAACCCTGTGACTTTTGCTCAGAAACTCCATCTAGGAGGCTGGTCCGGTGGCGCAGCGGCTAAGTTCGCATGTTCTGCTTCTTGGTGGCCCAGGGTTCACTGATTCAGATCCCAGGTGTGGACATGGCACAGCTTGGCAAAAGCCATACTGTGGTAGGCGTCCCTCAGATAAAGTAGAGGAAGATGGGCATGGATGTTAGCTCAGGACCAGTCTTCCTCAGCAAAAAGAGGAGGATTGGCAGTAGTTAGCTCAGGGCTAATCTTCCTCAAAAAAACAAACAATAAAAAAAAAACAAACTCCATCTATTATTCTGAAGTATTATTATTACTGATGTGGGAAAGAAGGGTCTGGAGGACAAGGCTTGAGGTCTCCCATGTCTTTCAGCTTCAACCTAGCCTCTTGATTGCCTTGAGGTTATTAGCAGAGCTTGTTTGCTGGGGAAGATCACAGATTCCTACATCTGACTTGACAATGGGTCTGTGTGTTAGCTCAGCAACAAAGACAACTTGGATACTGTCAAAAGCCTCATGAGTCAGTCAATTTGAAGAGGCTCCCAATGGGCAAAATGGAACAATTTGAGGGGCGGCCTGGTAGCACAGGGGTAAAGTTCGCATGCTCTGCTTCAGCAGCCCAGGGTTCGCTGGTTCAGATCCTGGGTGTGGACCTACGTACTGCTTATCAAGCCATGCTGTGGCAGGCGTCCCACATATAAAATAGAGGAAGATGGGCATGGATATTAGCTCAAGGCCAATCTTCCTCGAAAACAATAAAAAAGGAAACAATTTGAAAATTAATAAGAGTAATGGATTGAAACAAATATATTTAAGTCCATGAGTTACTAATGATATTAAAAACAAAACCAGGGCCAGCCAGGTGGCGCAGCAGTTAAGTTTGCACATTCTGCTTCAGCAGCCTGGTGGTTTGCTGGTTCGGATCCTGGGTGCAGACATGGTACCATTTGGTGAGCCACACTGTGGTAGGGGTACCACATATAAAGTAGAGGAAGATGAGCACAGCTGTTAGCTCAGGGCCAGTCTTCCTCAGCAAAAAGAGGAAGATTGGCCCCAGATGTTAGCTCAGGGCTAATCTTCCTCAAAATCCCCCAAAAACCAAAAACCAAAACAACTAAACAAAAGCCTCTCTGTCCATTTTTGTAGGGTGTAAGGGAACCAAATTACTATTTTGAAAACTGGTAAATAAAGGGAAAGAATAGAGCATTATCCTTCCTTTCCTATACTTCAGGGTAATCAAATAGTTGACGTGAGTACACTTCTCTTTATAGAACTATCCAATGAATAAATAAAGGAATGATTAAGTATCACCATTTTGTAACCCCTAAGAGATTAATGGACTGGGGCAATGATCATCAGTGGCTGCCAACATCACAAGAAAAGAGACAACCAGAGCATATAACATCGCCTATGAAGTAGTCTTGCAAAAAAAAACAAAACAAGGGGCTGACCCTGAGTAGTGGTTAAGTTCAGTGGGCTCTGCTTCAGCGGCCCAGGTTCTTGGGTCCGGATCCTGGGCGCAGACCTACACCATGCTGTGGCAGTGACCCACATACAAAATAGAGGAAGACTGGCAACAGGTGTTAGCTCAGGGCCAATCGTCCTCAGCAAAAAAACTCCAAACAACCTCCACCCCAAATAAAACAAAAATAAAAACAAAATAACACCATATCAAGCCTCTAGATCTAACGGCCAATTTACAAAATACAGGAACAAAGAGACATGTTAAGTGACCTCACTGGTTTGCAATTTGCAAAATCCAGACTCAAGGAAATAATCCAAGATGAACAAACTGGTCCCTTCAACAAAAATATTACAAGGAAATAAAGAGTGATTTGGGGGAACCTATAGATCAAAAGAGACTTAGGGGACATTTCAGCCAATTGCAACGTATGGCCCTTATTTGGATCTGGATTCAAACAAACAAACAAACAAAAACCCCTAAAATAAATAGACTCTTGGTGCAGTGTGAATGAACACTGACTGGATATTTTATGATCAAGGAATTATTGTTAATTTTTTTAGATGGAGTAATGTATGGTATTGTGGTTATTCTTTAAAAATATACCTACTGAAATAACTATAGACGAAATAATATGATGTCTGAGATTTACTTCAAAATAATTCAGCGTGAAAGAGAATGAGTAGAGGTGCAGATGAAACAAAATTGGGCTTTTTGATAGTTGTTGAAGTGAAATAATGGGTAAATCATCTTTGTTCTATATTTTCTTTACTTTTGTCTGATACAACTTAAGTTTCTAAAGGACACTGGCTACCGTGTACAGAAATGACTGCAGGAGGGGAGGGTCAAAGCAGGTGACCTCTTGGAGATGACTGCAGAAATCAGGCACTAGATGGCGCTGTCAGTGGGGGCGTTGAGGACTGGCGGATTCTGGATAATTTTGAAAGTAGAGTCACAGGACTTTCTGATGGATATGATGCGAGGTGTAATAATAGTCTCATTACCTTTGGTTGGAGCTTAAAACAATCACTATTTGCAAATTCTATTTGACAGTTTTTTTAATCTTATTTAAAATTTTTAAAAGCTTACTTTTTAGTCAGAAAAAACTAGATATTTTTTTCTGAAAACAAGTAAAAACAATTACCAAGAAAACAGCAGTTCAAAGCCATTGTTGCCTTTGAAAGAATGGGATAATATATTCTGGGGCTATGATTTAGAGAATAAAGACCCACAATCTCATTTGAAACCTTTGGTGCCAGATGTTTCAGAGTTCAGAATTTTTCAGATTCTAGAAAGGTAATATAGGGCACATAGAGTATATTATGTAATCCTCAAGCAGGGTCTGCGGAAGTTCCCTTTAATCAAATGCATTAACATTTCTGCAGTAAAACTCATGAATATTTTTCATATTAAGTGAGCTAAAGATCATATAGGTCTTACATTAGATCAGATCAGGTTTATCACCAGTTGAGTTTTGGAGTCAAACTTAGGAACACGTCTGTAGATTTTCAGAATCTTTTAGATTTTGACATCGTACATAATGAATTTCAGTTCAGTTAGGTACATACTTACTAACTACCTACTATGTGCCCCTGATCTGGAGGACCTCATACACTAGGAATTAAGGCAGTAAACTAGCAACTTTAATAGAAGGTGGGGACATTCCAGGCAGCGGGAACAAGAGAAAGACACAAGGTTGTTAGGAGTGGGCTGTGTTCAGAGAACAAAGTACTCAGTTTGATTTGTTCTGTTTGACAGAACATAAGATTGCCTATTCTAATAAAGTAGGCAGCTGAGGTTTGAAAGGCTGTGTTTAGTAATGCTCCTTCAATCATTATCAGCATGCTGCTTTTTATGAGCATTGTGTCCATGTGTGTGTGCACATGTGCGTGTGTGAAATATTTCGAAGGTTAGGACCATTGCTGAGACTTCACAGAATTTAACACTCTGGGCACTAAGGAGCTGAAAAGGTCCTCTGAATCATTAATGCAGCATGGATGACTCAGAACATTTCTGCTGGTTGGGCCCGTGCCACCGAGCAGGAAGCACAACAATACGATTTTCTGAGCACCATGTTCAGCAGCCTCTCCTCTTCCATGAAAGGCACTGGGGTACACCATGTAAGCAACCAGCTTTGAGGACCTTTGACTCAGACCCTAGAGAAATACAACTGCACTGAGGCAATCTAATGAATTGAATTCAATTTGTTTAGGGAGCTATATGAATTCTTTGACACAGCAAAATGAAAATGCCATTAAATCCTTGTCTTAATTGAACACGATAATGGGTAGAGAGATTTCAGGTAGGACAAACCTTTCTTGGAAGACAATTTGGGCAGGAGCTGCTCTCACCTATTCATTGACAGAGCGGACTTGTTACCTAAATAAGGAAGGGGTTAAGTTATATTTGCACAATTGGCATATTTTCCATGAGCTAGAGAACTGTGGCAATCAAAGGGCTGGCTTCAGCCATAAGGGATGTACTCAGGGAGGGAGAAGGGAGGCTGCAAGATTGTAGGGCTGACATCAGGGTGCTGGCAGCCTGAAGAGCAGCCCAGGGAGCAGGGTGGGGTCTCACCCCAGACGTGGTTGCCTTCAGCAACTGCTCTCCCTGTTCACCACAACTGGGGCCTGGAGCTGGGAGCATATTTTACAACGCAAAGGGTACTTGGGTGCTGTGGTTTCTAGGTTCTGTAATGACACCCATTAGTCTCTAGCTGGTGTTCATCCAGGACTGCTTAGTGAGACCAACGCACCAGCATCCCTTCTACTGTGAACTGTAACAGCGTGACCTTAATGTGTGTCAGTCTGTCCTGAGCTTTCCACTAGCCTCACATTGACCATCAGGAAACGAAGGCTAAAAGAGATGAACATAACTGGCTTCGGAGTCAGAAAAATCTGGGCTTGAGCCTATCCTTTTCCAACATCTTGCAATGGGGCTTCTGGCAAAGGCTTTTAACCTCTTGTCACAACTAGTGAAAATAGGGATAAGAATACATACCTCATGGCTTTGATATGGTGATTAAATAAGATAATGCAGATAACCTTCTTGCACTGGCCTGGCACACAGTGAGCATAGACTGTCACAGAGCTATAGTAATTAGGAGAGCTGGAATCCAGTTCTTCTAACTCAGGGCCCGAGTTGTTGACATGCTGCAGTCATAGTTATTTTTGAGGAATCCCTTTGGCTGGCTAAACGAGGACAACAGTAATCTTCCCCTTCAAGCCTTGGTCTAGTGGTCAATATCATAAATATTCACTAACTTACTAGGATGCTTCTAGGAACTTTGAGTCAAAAGCAGAAGCAATTAATAAATGGCATGACTTCAGGTGAGCGGCTGTGATGAGAAGGAACTTGAGAATAAGCTCAGATCCTTACCACTTCACGCTTCTCCACTTCAAACCAGCGGGAAATTCCAGGCAAACTCTGCACCAAGTATAATGACGTTCTCTCCACCCAGAGACTCTAGGAAACACGAAACAAATTAAGTCCCCAGGTTGTCCTGCTTTCTAGTTACTGAGCTATGACTAATGTTTGCCATTCCATTTTATCCAGTTTCCCTTATTTCTGTCAGCTTTTTTTTTAGTATCCATGCTGGACTTCAGCAATCCCTTTGCACTCCTGAAGTGATCACAGGAAGACATTGCTGGAGCTTATGTTAATAATTCCATTGTATATTGTCTGAAACTTTTTTCTGTGTAGAATAAATGATCTACTTCAGACAGCAAGCTTAAATATATAAAAACAAGCCATCACATTATTTTCTTCACTATCTCTCTAAAATTCTAATTTAAACTCTCTTCATTCAAGGGGTCTAGCCATTTTTTTCTAGAAGGGGTAGCAGTATCAGCTGGTCAACACAGGATTAGAATAACAGAATGCTAAAGGAGGAAAGGCTTTAGGAATCATGTAGCCTGATCTTTCTGTTTTAAAGATGAAGACACTAAGCCTCAAACAGGCAACGTGACCTGTTCAGAGCTCTCTTCTAATTACGTGTAGAGCCAGCACTAGAACCAGCCACAAGAACTTCTGATTTTTTGTTGCCAGATCCCCTGTGCCACACTGTCTCGCGCCCATCTGAACTGCTGTAAAGCAGGAGGATCTGTATGTAAAAGCTGGGGCTCCCTCTGGCCAGGACAAGCACCCCCACGACACGTGAATCCACAGCTGCCTTTGGTAAGCGCTGCTGTGGATGGAGGGTTTCTCTTTTGTCAACCAGGTTTCTGTATCTATGCCTCGTTTTTCTTATTAAACAAAATGCATTCCCAAAAGGATAATAAACTTTGCAAAATTCCTAAAATAGTGCCATTTATTCAACAACAACAGAAAGTGGAAGGATTTCTTTGTGCCAGCCAAGATACACTGAAATGATTATGCCAGAGACCCTGTGACAGGAACTCCAAGTGTTCTGGTGGCAGGTAGGGAAGCGGATCAATAGGGACTCGAGGTGAAACGACAGGAATGCTGAGAAGGCAGAGGAAGAGGCAGGCACGCCATGCCACCCTGTGGGAGGAGGACAGCACTTCTCGGAGGAGGTGACACGTGAGCGGAATCTTGAAGAGTGAGTAGGAGTTTGCCAGGCGGAGAGTGGGGGAAGCACTGCAGACAGCAGGAAGCAGCAGCGCAGAGACGTGGGGCGGCTTGTGAAAGGGCATGGCAAGAGATGGGGAGAGAAATTCGGAGTCGCTGGAGCTGAGGGGAGCAGGGGGATGAGTGGGCTGGAGCCAGATGCCGAGGGCTGTAAGCACAGGAATAAGGAGCCAGATTTATTATTTTTTTAGAGGGACTGCTATACCATTGATCACTATTTAAAGTGACGGCCACGAGGAAATGTGGTGCAGTGGAAAACGTCCTAGAGAAGGAGGTATCAGAAGGCACAGGTTCTAGTGCAGGGTCTATGGGTAATTAGAACGTGACTGAGCATGTCAATTGCCTGACTTCCTATTCACTGGAATCGACTGCAATGAAAATTATATCATAAACTAATGATCTTTAATTGGTGTTGGAGGGAAAAAAAGAAAAATATAAGTATCCAAAAGGACTAGAAAATAATCAGAGATCTTTTCAAGAACATCACAGTGCTGTTTTCCAATGGTTTCCTTGCCTTGGTATTTAACCCATCAAACTTCCTTGCACAAAGGCCTGCTCTTTGTTTCAGTCCCATCACAACACTACGCAACTATCACAGCTTCCCCTTCTGATCACTTGTCTGTGAATAATTTCTAGAGTTACTGCTGGGAGCACTGGGAATTGACACTTAGGCGGAGGTGACAAGGTGAGTTAACATGAGACAATCATTACTGACAGTGTTAGGAGAACATTTCCCAGCATAAGTAGAAACTAACTATGGTGAAAGAAGCTAAGCCAATTAACCCATAGCAGTAAGTTTGCTTTGCATTCTTTATTTAGGAGGAGAAAATACTGACTACCTGGGGCTCTATCTGGTCTTGCTATGTCACTGTTGTCAAGGAAAGAGCAGATTATAATTTACCTGTGGAACAACCTTGCTCTTTTCCCCACAGTCGGGCTATAAGAAGCGGCATTCCTTTCTGGCTGAAGGAGCTCTTAATTAGCAAGGCACATTGAAACTACTCACACCAGAGAACTCAAAACATGCAAGGAGTCTTTGGTTTGCTTTTACTCTGTGTCATCTAGGAAGTCCTAATCACACACCATTCTCAGATGAAGCAGCAGCAGAAGATGGCATAGAACCTTCCCATTGTACCAGAAGTCTACCCAACCCTTCTCTTTCTCAGAAATCCTCTTTCCCCCTTCATTAGGTATTTTTTACTCATTGCACTCTACTGAATCTGAAAATACATATCCTGAGGGTCCCACAAGTGGTTCCACAGGAATGAATAGAGGACTGAGCTCAGCAATGAAATCTCAAAGACTGGTCCTAGAACCACTGGCATTGGAATTGTCACAAAGAAGCCAATTTCAGGGGCTTTTCTCAGACCTACTGAGTTAGAATTTCCAGGCTGGGGGCCAGAAATCTGCTCGGTTAGAAAGCACCCCATGTCACCCGAATACACAGCAGAGTTCGAGAACCACTAGACTACGATTTCCGGTCCCTTCTGGTTCCGTCACTTGACACTATCCTGAGTAAATATTTAGCCAGTCTTACCCCAAGCAGCTCACAGTCTAAGTGAGGAAACGGCATGTAATAAAAACTGCACAGTACCTTGAATTCATTCTCTTTATCTTTAGTGCCTTTGTGAAATGGTCTGTCATAACGGAATTTCCAGATATGATTCACTTTATAGAAACTTTTGATGTTGTCTGGAACACCCTCTCTCTGCAGCACCTCCTGGCTCTCCGGAATGGGAGTCACAGCATAGATCTGCAAATCTAGAATTAAAGAGTCAAGGAGGGAACCCAACTTGGCAAACTCCATGGAAATCTGGCTTGAGCTGAGCTGTGGCAGAGAGAAAAGGATGGTAACCATCCGGTGTCTCCGTTTGGGTTGAAGTAATTTAAAAAACTGCCAAGAAGGTCCCCAGAACTCAGTTCATAGCAAATCACTTCTCAAAAAACAGGCCTTGAATTAGTTTTAGGTAGGTGACTCTGAAAAAGTATCGGTTTAAAATTTCTATGACCTGTGAATTTATTTATCGCTGCTTTTCTTTTTGCTTTTTTTTTTTTTTTTTTTTGGTGAGGATGGGTGGGAATGGTTTAGATCTCAGGTACTCAGAGTTGTATTAATTCTAATCCTTGTTATCTTTAGTTCATGCATGAGATACTCTTTAGTCCATGCATGGCCATTCTTTATTTGTTTTTTAAATAATGTATAAATACCCACACAACCATGACCAAAGACACAACAGTGACTTGTATTTACCTGTGTGATGCTGTATCTGCAGCCTTCCCACATTTGTGGTATCCACTCTCCCATATCTTGTATTGATAAGCAGAATGTTTAGTTGTAGCTGATATTTTAAAAAATTACCTATATTGTAATTGTATATTTACCTCCTTCTCATTCAAACAAGGATAGCATAATATTTTCCTTTGTGTAATTACTTGCTTCTGTTGCATTTTAGTTTCTGCTTTGAAATGGGATCCATAATTATCAGTGGGAGTTTCTGGTCTTCTTTAAGATCATCAATTTCAGGAAGAGACAGAAGGATTCAGAGAGTCATGCTGGGGTGAATTCCCTCTGTCTCTAAGGCCTATGTAATTTCAGTTGAGTTGTTCATGTTTAGACAATAGGAGTGTCAATTATATAGCAATTATAAAAGACTGTCCCAGATGCCTTGGCTAAAAGCCCTCAAAAGATACTGGGGTACCTCTTTCTCTTCCCTTCCTCATTTCACAATAAAAATGTCAGGGGAAAAGGGGGTGAATGAAATGTGTCAGTAAACATAATGCTATTATTTCCTTGAACTAAAGTAGTTTCCATATGATACGCAAATTGTTCTAAAGGAAATCACTAAGAGAGCTTTAAAAGCAGGGTTGAGATACAGAAAAGGAAAAAAATTCTTTAACAGAATCTTGAAGGAATTTCTTTTCAACTGACATCATGATAATAAATAGAACAATTCTGTTTAGAAGGAGCTAAGCTAAAATTAAGATGATGAGAAAGAGGGAGAGTAAGAACATGGCAACTGAAAAGGGGCCAGGGACTGAATAACCTTACATGAAAATTCCTGTTGTCAGTGCCATGGAGTTGATTCCAACTCCTTGCAATCCTGTGTACAGCAGAGCGGAACCCTGCCCGGTCTTTTCGCATCACCCTCTCATCTTGCGGTGCTAAATCAAACAGTGCTCCACTGCTATTCATAGGGTTTTCATGGCCAATTATTTTGGAAGTGACTGGCCAGGTCCTTCTTCCTAGTCTGTCTTAGTCTGGAAGCTCTGCTGAAACCTGTCCACCATGGGTGACCCTGCTGGTATTTGAAGCACCATGAAATAGCATGAAAATGCTCTGCACCTAATGGCCAGTTCACTCTAACTGGAATCCAGCTTTTCTAGGTGTGGATACACTGAGCTTCCGCCTGGAAGATGGTCTCATCGGGCTGGTTGGCATGTTGCATGGCGATGGCGTGGGGGAACTCGTTCAGCATTCTCTGTTGGAAGGCCTCCAGTCTCTCATAGTCATGCCCTCGGCACACAAACTCCTTATTCTGGAGGCGAAATCAAAAAAGAAATTAAGACTATGCCAAAAAAATATGACACTGGCAGTAACTGAGCACATGCCCCACATCAATAGACTATAACAACAAAAAAATGCACTGGAACAGTCTGAAAAATTTGCCCAAATATTAAAATGCAGGGCAAAGATCATGAGTTTCACTCTCTGTTGCTTTTAATAAGACCCAGTAGCCTGCCTTACTCTTCCCAGTTCACTTGCATGAGGTGCAAAGAGGCATCTGATTCTCAGAGCACGAAACACAAAGCAATCGTGCTTCCTCTAAATCTTAACGAGCACGTGTTAAAGATTATTTTTATAAACTGGATATCAAACTTACGTAGATAAACTAACAATTTGGAGGAAAAGAAAATAAATGCAATCTCTAAAAATGCATTTTATTGCATTCTTTTTAAAAAGACCACAGAGATCAGCCTTAACACTTTCATTAACTAGATCCCTCTGCAGAAAGGAAGGCTGAGCAGGTGTGTATTCCGGGTCTCAATACGGCGGGCGTGGGAATTTTCCTTGCCCTCATCAACCCAGCTCAGCCTCCTGTAGCCAGGAATCCTATTAACTGGCAGAAACTAAGACTTAGGAGTTTTAGGGGCTCGATAAATGTTGAACATATTTTTGTCTGTTTTTTGTTTTGTTTTACAATAGATACGAGTACTCTGCGGGTCAGGACTCCCTCTCATTAGGTAGGAATGGTGGAGGTTATCCCTGAGGTAGGGCAGAGAGCTGGAAAGATGGGCAGGTTTCCAAAGAGTACCTTAATGACTGGGTTAGACATGAGGGAAGTCTTTCTGACAGTTTAGTGATAATGAAATTACAATTGCTGAGCACAGTCATTGACTGGCACGTTGCACATTATCTTATTTAACCCAAAAAAGCTTGAGAGGCAGTTACCTGCCCATCCTGCCCAATTTTATAATCAGAGAACTAAGGCTCAAGATCACTATGTACTTTGTCCAGGGGAACTACATTCAAACTCGAGTCTGAGTCCAAGGCCTGAGGTCATTGTGTTCTGAACATGGCCTGGTACATCCAGAAAATACTCCTAAGAGCTACCAAGACCAAGAAAGGTTGCAGGAGAGCATGTCTTGACGGTCTTTATGAAAAAGAGTGGTTTGTGGTCTGGTTTCTCAGCTCCATGAAGTTCCCATGATAGTGTAACATGCCCTAAGGAAGAACTAGGAGCAAAACTGAGGAAGCTAAAAATCACCAGTGGGCAGGGGGCTCAGGGGTGCAGCTGAGAAAAAGCAGCTGCAGGCAAGTAGAGGAAATAGGAGTGGGGACTGGGCTGTGAGAACCTGCCACAGTTCCCCACAAACTCCTGAACAAATCAAGATCCTTTGGAAAACACAAGCTAAGACAGATGACCTAGGAATCAGGACCCCAAAAGAATCCTATATTTAAAACTTTCTAGCTAGAAGTTCTATTTTCTGATGCTTTATTTTTTTTTATTCTACTCAAAAGATAATAAATTGGGGCCAGCCCTTTGGCAGAGTGGTCAAACTTTCACACAATCTGCCTTGGCAGCCCGGGGTTTGCAGGTTTGGATCCCAGGTGCAGACCTATTCCCTTCATCAGGTCATGCTGTGGAGGCATCCCACATACAAAGTAGAGGAAGACTGGCACAGATATTAGCTCAGGGCTCATCTTCCTCAAAGAAAAAGTGAGGAGCACTGATAATGGATGTGAGCTCAGGGCCAATCCTTCTCACCAAAAAAAAAAAAAAAAAAACCCGATAAATTTGTTTGATAAAACAAGACAATACATACCTTCCTGCATATTACAGAAGTCCCAAAATAAATATCTGAATACTCTAATAACCGAAACATTTTTAAAGCAATGCTTATATGTAACAAGAGTTTGTGAAATCAGCAGAGTTACTTCTAGCATATGGTTGTTCAATGGTATTAAGAAGTCGTTTTGAGATAAAAATAAATTTGGGGTCTGATATTTGAGTTGCCAAGAAATAAAAAGGAATTAAGCATTCCCCCATCAATGCTTTTTTTTAAATCACAGATTTATCGAGATATAGTTCACATACCATAAAATTCACCCCTTTAAAGTGTACAATTCAGTTGTTTTTAGTATATTCACGGAGTTGTGCAACTATCAACGCTATCTAATTTCAGAATATTTTCACTACCCCCAAAAGAAACCCATACCCATTAGCAGTCACTGCCTATTTCCCCCTTCCCCCAGGCCCTGGCAACCACTAATCTACCTTCTATTTCTGTGGATACGCCTATTCTGGACATTTCACATGAATGGAATTATACAACTTGTGGACTTTTGTGACTGGCTTCTTTCACCTAACATAATATTCTCAAAGTTCTTCCATTTTGTAGCATATATGAGTACTTCATTCCTTTTTTATTGCTGAATATTCCATTGTATAGATATACCATATTTTGTTTATCCATTCATCAGTTGATGGACATTTGGGCTGCTTCCACTTTTTGGCATTATGAATAATGCTGCTATGAACATTTGTGTATAGGTCTTTTGTGGATGTATGTTTTCAACTCTCTGCAGTATATACTAGGAGTAGAATTGCTTGGTCAAATTTTTAATACGTAAGATTTTTTATTGTCTTTCTTTTGAAAAAGAAATATATACTTAGGGTAAAAACAAAAACCTAAATAGTACAGAGCATACAATGAAAAGTCTATCTTTTTCCCATCCTTGACCTCAGTCTGTCTCCCCAGAGGAATCATTATCCAGAGATACCCTATGCAGATAAAACATTGTCCATAAAGAACCCATTTTCCATGAGGGTAAAAAAGCTACTTAGAGCATACAATTATATAAATGTATTGTACTTGAGCTTTAAAAATTATCCTGAAATTGATCAATAGAAAGGAAATTTTTAATATTAATATTTGCTTGTTTTAAAATAGAAGAAGTGACTAGAATCTGGTTTTCTAAGAAGTCTAGGCTCATGATTCTGAAGGATGCAATGCCCTCTAGAAACCAATAGAGGGTGACCCTTCTCTTTCATTTTGAAGGAAATGTCATTTATAGTTAGAAAAGCTGTTTTTAAAAGACTGATGATATAGAGATTGATTTATTCTAATTGACTTTTTAACAAAATTTATTTGCTAAATTTCCTTTAAAATTATGGCTCCTAAACTACCACTTATTTTTTAACTTTATACTTTAATTAACATTAATTGCATAAGCTGGACAGATGTCTAGGGTACTTCACAGTACACTGGCTAGCTGAACTCAGAATTTGATTAGGGCTACATTAGGACTTTTGTGGGCCCCTTCCTTCAAAAAACATTAAAAATCATATTGTATGACTGATTTGGTATAAAGACAAGTATATCAATATTATCTGATGTATAATATACAATATAATATATATTGTAACATTTTTTTCAACCTGAAAATTCCCTTTTTCCTTCTGATTTTTACAATAAATTACAAGTTTTGTGGGCCATCTAAAACTATTATGGTCTCTAACCACTGTACCTACTGTGTATAATGGGTCAGTTAGCCTTGAGTATGATATGGAAGAAACATAATCTTTTACTTTGCATGATTTTGAGCCAACAGAGGAAGTGGGTCTGCTGTAGCAGGGACCCTCCTGTGGGGTCTCTTATGGGGTCTATGGCCCTCTGTGCTGCTCACAGCTCTAGAATGCCTCTCACTCCACTCGGAACCTGGATCCAGGCCATGTGCCCTCCGCAGGGGGTTGATGATGTCAGCCCAGGCCTAGCATCGTCCACTTTTAAAATTTAGTCTTTCAAATTCAGCAAGTCTTCTGAATTTGTCATTGTTTTTGATTCAGGATCAAGCTCCCCTCTGTCTTTAGGCAGACCCATCTTCAGAGTGAGTTTTGTGACTACGCACAACATCGTGTGGATTCTCTTTTAACCCAACAAGGAGATTTTACTTATGTCTGTGTGGCACCCAAAAACACAGTCATTTCAATCAATTAAAAATGATATCAACCTGTCATTTCAATGTTTGTTCCATGTGATACTAAAATGAATCTTTGCCTATGGTGTTTGGATATTTTGGAATATATATATGACTATATATAAATATATGAATAAATAAATATACGTATAAAACTTTCATTCTGAAAGGCAGATCAATTATTATTAAACAAACAATGAAGCCAAATCTTTCTCCTCTCCCTTCTCCTTCAAGTACCCCTAACCTATATCTACTCATAAGTACTGATAGTTAAAGCAAGATTAAGGGCAACACAAATACCAAAATATTTGTATATCGAGATTTAAAGTTTGTAATGAATTCACTCAATTTTACAAATTACCACAGACACTTCTCCTTAGCTGCTTGGGGAGCTCCATTTCCTCTCCCCACCAATGTTTTCATATAAGTAAGATGTACACACATACTGAAGTGTTCAGTAAATATCAAGCATATAAGATATTACTTGGCATGAGGTGAAAAATCACAAGAATGGAGTCAAATGTTTTATTATCCAGTAGGTACCTTAGAATGTCTGGAAAATTTTCCTTTGTAGAAAGAATTTGTACTAGCAATAAATTGGATCTCTTTGCTGGGTGACATTTACCTTTTCACAAAGTCATCAACTAGGCCAAACAACACGCTTCACATGATTCTGGAGGTAGGGTTTCCACATGATGTGAATCGGCAATGTTTTCTATAGTCTACAACTCCCAGCCTCCACCATGATCTGCTATTTTTCTCTAACTCTCCAGAAACTGCAGACCGAATAGGATAGTGACTATCCATCACACAAAGGAAACAACTACAATCACCAAGGATTGCTCATGAAGTATAGTAAACTTAGAAACTTTGGAAGAAAAATCAAAAGATTGTTTGCCATCTTGAGAAATCATTCGGAACAAAGCATTCTAGATTAGTATGATGTTTGCAAAGGAAAAGGTTAAAAGAAATCTCATTATGTTATTACCTGTCTAAAAAGGATAAAATGTCATTAGTATCTTAGTTTTCTTGATTTGGATATCTATATTGGGAATATAAAGGCAAATTAAGTAGCATATTACTTACTCTTAAGAAAAATGGAAATTTTTTTCCATAAAATCCAACTCTAAAGAACTCTGGTTCAAGACGTTGCTGGTCCATAATTTTGTCATACAAAGAGGCTTCCATCATCTAGGAAAGCACAGGAGAAATTCTAATCATCTTATCTCATCTTTCAGCCCCACCAATTTTTGGAAGAGGATATTTCCTCTATACAAAGGAGAACTCCATTTTAATTCAGTTTGTGAAAAAGAAGGTTTGACTCCCTTTCTATGCTTTAAGGCAGGGATCAGCAAACTTATTCCGTGAATGGTCAGAGAATGAGTATTTTAGGCTTTGCAGGCCATATGGTCCCTGTCACAACTACTCATTCTGTGAGGCCCACAGGCTGTAGTCTGCTGACCTCTGCTTTAAAAAAGGATCAAGTATATTATTACATGTCCTTACCAGAGAAAATGATTTCTATGCACATTCTATTGAGGAAATATTTTCTTAACATGAACATTAGCAGCAAAACCTTTCTGGAGAATCCTAGTGCCAGATGCACTCACCTGTGGCTGTGTTTCTCCTTGGACGTGGTGATTCAGGATACCTGGAAGGGGCAACCTTGCACAGGTTGGACAGGGATAAACCGACAAAGCAAACCAAAGGAAGCCCACAGTGTAAAGTGCTGTCTGGGCTGAAAGCTCTTAGTGTGTCTTTGACATTGTTGGAACTATGAAGCTCATAAAGCTTATGGTTTCCCATTTGTGGCATTATCATCCCCAGGGTTTCCAGAGAAAGACTAATATTGCACTTAAAAACTTTCCCCCTTCCCCCCACCCCCAGTAACAGCCCCCGAAAGAGTAATTGGCATGAAGTGTAATGCTTTGGGTTTATAAAAATCTTAGTGACTACGGCACCCAAGGGCACTCACGGGTAAACACTGTAACCTCGCTTCTGTTACAGGGACAGGATGCCAAGAGAAGCACGGCAACGTTTTTATACAAAACTGCAGGGCCTCCCAGAGTCAGCATGATGGACTGAAGCTAAAACAAGGTTTTTTCTCTTTGGTTTTCATGTTAGGAGAAATGTCGATGAACCGCTGACGTTAAATACTGTGCCAAAAAGACAGGGCTGGCTCCTGCCAGTTAAATAAGTTACTGATGGTGTAAAGGATTTTACGAGCTGTTAGAGGTTTACGATATCATCTCTTATAGTGCTACCTCAGAATTCAAAGACAACATCATAATCTTTTTTTAAAAATACATAAAAGCTGATCCTATTTTAGAAACCCTGAAGAGCTTAAGCGTTACAAGATGACACAAAACATTCATGACTCTGAAGAAGGACTTGGAAGACAAGAAGGACTTGTCTGAACCTGAAAGAAAAGAAGGTATAACACATCTGGTTCAGGGACACAGAACATTAAACTCCTTGACCTTAGGTACTAAGACCTTGGTTTAGATTTAACAAATAAAAACATATCTCTGAAGCTAAAGAGAGTTGACGCCTATGGAATTTAGCCCCAAAATATTTAAAAATGGGTCAGTTAGCCATTTCTCCTATTTAGTGTACAGATTATGGGACTAAGAATGGGATCTTATTACAGAGATTTGTGTACAAGTGAGAAGCTCTTCAAGCAGTGTGGAGATTTCCCTCAATAAACTAAAAGTATTCATCCTGGAGCAGACTGTGAAGTTCAGACGCAGCGTCTAGAACAGATCAAGGGCTCACTTTTTGTATCTTAATCAAAAGCATTGTGCAGATCAACTTGCTATTTCTCTGTATAAATAGCTGAGTATGCCTCAGAGGAAAGACATATCTTAAAAAAGCTTTCTACCAGGCACATCAAGATGATCACAAAGTTAATTTCATAGAACAGTACTGGAAAACTAATCAAAAAAGGATGCCACAGCCTGATCAGCATGCATCCAGGTACCTTACCCTCATCTTGCTCAGGTTTCTGTAGTCATAATAACTCTCGTACTGCTCTGCTATCTTCCGGCACAAGATGATGCCATTCTCCCAACACTGTGGACAAATGAATAATGTAAACATTAATGATCCCAGAACATTTACTTACTTCCACCCAGAGGTCAGGATACGACTGCTTCAGATCATCAAGTCTTACTTCTTTTCTTTCTTTTTTTTGTGAGGAAGATTAGCCCTGAGCTAACATCCATTGCCAATCCTCCTCTTCTTTTGCTTGAGGAAGATTAGCCCTGAGCTAACATCTGTGCCAATCTTCCTCTCCTTTGTATGTGGGATGCCTCTCTACAGCATGGCTGATGAGTGGAGTAGGTCTGTACCAGGATCTGAACCTGCAAACCCGGCATGCCAAGGCGGAGCGTGCAGAACTTTAACCACTTGGCCACGGGCTGGCCCCAAGTCTTACTTCTTAATCTGTATAACCTACTTTTAATAGTATCAGTGCAACATCAAGCAGGAAAACAGCACATAATTAACATGTAAACTATTAAAAATCTTTAGGAAGTTGGAAATGATAATCTATCACAACAGGCATTAACATATGGTGCAGAAACATTTTCTGGTGTCATTTCAGCAGCATCATCTTGAAATAACTACAGTTCCACAACAGCCCAGTAGATGAATAAACAGGCCCTTGGTGCTGAGGGGGAATTACCACCGACTCCTAAGGCCTAATTATCCACAACCGACACACTAGATTCCTCGCTTGGCTCCAATGCGCATGTAAATTGTGAGGGTCTAATCCAGCAGGTTACCCTTAGCAGAAATACAAAAATTCTTCAATCTAGCCCAGGTATTGGGCAAACCTTTTCTGCTAAGAGCCAGACACCAATACTTTAGTTTCTGTGGGCCATATAACCTTTGTCACAACTACTCAACTCTGCCATTAAAGCACGAAAGCAGCCATAGATACGAATAAACTTGGCTGTGTTCCACTAAATCTGTAATCTATGGACACTGAAATGTGAATTTCATGTAATTTTCACATGTCAGATATTCTTCTTCTTTGGATTTCTTTCAATCATTTAAAAATGGAAAAGCAATTCTTAGATTGCAGACTGAACAGAAACAGGTGGTGAGCCATTGGACCCAAGGGCCATAGTTTGCAACCTCTCATGGAGCACAAACTCCTGGGAATGGGCCAATATACGCAGCCAGAGATTGTGTAACAGCTTATGCAGGAGGGCACAAAGGCATTTCCTTGCTATTAACCTAAGGGACGAGAGGCCGGTGTAGTTAGACAAATAATAAGAGGCCGGGAAGGAACCAATTCCCTTGCATCACATTTTTGGGTGTACAATTATGTTTTGTAAAAGAATGACAGCCACTGGTTTTATTTTAATTGTCTGTTTAACCTTGGCAATTTGGAAGATACATTTAAATCTAAGACACATATCACCAAAGCATCCAAGTGTTCAACTCAACTGTGGTCAGATTCACAACTTTTTCTTTAAAGAGTGTTGCAACCCTTGGAGAAAGAGGCAGGTGGAGTGAGGTGATGTGCTGAATTGTGTTAGCTCAGTGTGGTTTTTTGACGCCCCAGGGCATCTCTAAGTATATGATGAGATACCATAAAATTCTTTAAACAAACTTAGTTTCATTTATTTTGCCTTAAAAAAAAGTGGACTGCAACAGAATACATGCCAATTGGGGGTGGTGAGGGGAGAGTGATAATGGTTTTTCACCCTTATAAAATGCCTGGGTGTCAAAACCTCTAGATCAGCATTTCTCAAAGTGTGGTCCAAAGTTCACACACACTGGAATTTCCTGGAGTCTTCATTAAAATCACAGAATCCCTGCCCCACACCAGACCTACTTCATCAGAATGTCTAGGAGCGGGAACTGGGAATCTGCCTTTCAACAAACTCTTGGGTGTTTGGATGCCCATTAAAATTTGAAGGCCCCTGCTTGAGGAGGTGGGCATCAGTGACCTAGAAATAAAGGAAATGTGACACCAACACAATCACCTTGGGAGAGGTCATGGGTGGGCAGGGCTACTTACTTTGCCTCTGTCAAAGTTCTGGATGATGGCGAGGTGCAGGTGCTCTTTGCGCTGCCATTCTGTTTGCATGGGGTAGGTCAGGAACTCCCGGAGGGGCCGATCAGACCATTCCAGCAGCTCATCGTATAACAGGAGAGTATATGCAGCCTCTGAAAGTCAATGGGCAGACAGTGATTGAGAGAGGACCCCAACAACCTCCCTGCAAATGGGGCTGGTTTGGGACAAATTAGAGAAAATACTATTTTCTGAATTTCATGATACTGAAGAAAAGTGTCCAGAAAATATGCAACAGCAGGATAATGAATGATGACTTTGCCTGGAAGATGGAATTATCTGAGATTTTTATTAAAGGTTTTGGCTCCCTGTATCCACACACTCTCTCTTTCTCCCCTACCGTTCCCTTCTTTCTACAAGGCCTGCATGCTCCTGGGATAATACAAATGTTTACGGATATCAGTTGTAGCTGGTTCAAAGACACAGGAGATACGCCTTTGTTTGCTAGAAAAGCTCACTGGTAAATCCCCACAGGTGGAACTATGGGTATCTTCAAAAGGGTATGCTTAGGAACCAAAAAAATGGTAGCTAAATTCTTCTGGATAATAAAAGGCTGAAAAACTTGAAACTGGTGTGTGTGTGTGTGTTTGGGGGTGTCATGGTACAGGCAGAATTTAGGAGGGGCAAAGAAGCCAGAGAGGAGCTGAGGACAGAAAAGAAAAATTTAAAAATCTAGCAACAGAGGAGGAATTAGAAATGGTAGAAGTGTTGGATAAGAACTGTGTGTGTGTGTGTGTGTGTGTGTGTGTGTGTGTGTGTGTGAGAGAGACAGAGAGAGAGAGAAAGAGAGAGAATATACACATGGTAATATTGACCTGTAGGCTTAAGCACAGTGGACAGATAGTGTACTTAAAAGAATACTTGCCATTCTGCAGGTCTCTTCTTTTCCCAAACCACAAATATGGCCAAACAGATCAAGAATAGGCACCAGAATTCATTGTCACTGATGAAGGACTATAATAATTTTTTTCCTTTAACATGATGATAGCCAACTCATTTACTAAACTGAATAAAATGGACAAACTCTTATGCTATTAATCCATTTAACTACCATCCCTATATGTCCTTCAAAAGATGTAATAGTAGCTTTTAACACAATATCACCAAATGGTAATTCTTTTTCTTCATTTATTTGCCTTCAGGGTAACTACACATAAAGCCCTAAACAGCATGTTAAGTTCTAGTCCTATGATCTGGCCATCTCAATGTATAAAGTATAGTTGTAATAAGAAAAGCCTGTGTCCCTATCACTGTTCTCTTACCTCTTAAGTGTAGAAGTCCCATGAGGCAAAGGCTCTGGACTTTCTTCCCTTTAGTTACCTTTGGTGAGCTCAACCTCCCGGCTTTAGTGGTTGTTGAGCAAAAGCTTTCATAACCCACCAGCATTCTCTTCCCCCCTCTATTCAGTTTGCACGCTGTAACCAATACGATCTTTCTTCAATGCAAATAATCATGTCGCTCCCCTAATTAAAACCAGCCAATGGCTCCCAGTAGCTAACAGGATAAATTTAGGTTTCCTAAAGTGATAGAGAAAGTGCCTATGATCTGGTCTCTCCACTCACATTTTCCCATTGTCCCACCACGTGGTAGGGTAAGAAGGAACCCTCCACTGTCTCTCCACACTCCATAGTTGGAGCTCCTTGACCCCATCATCAGCTTTGGCTGAATGAGACAAGATGCAGCCCGATCCAGAGGCAGCCAGCTATAAGACAGCTGCCCAACAGGGACAGAGGTGCTTTCTATTGCAATGGGCACTAGGTGAACTCTTTCTCGTGCAGATTAAATGTGAGGTGGACAGAGAGAGTATTGCTAAAGGGGGTCAGTTAATTGGTGGATGCAGAAAGTCAGCTGAATCACCACAACATAGGTGGCCACGGAAGACTGCTTCTGACAGGACAAAAAAAGATAATAACAACCAGATCATCAGATCTGAGCTGTATGTGAATAGCCTTCTGGTTTTCTCTGAGGCCTCCTGAGATGATTTCCTGATCTTTAATTCCCCACATGTCCTTATCATAAATGCCAAGTGTCAAAGAAAACCTCATGCATGCATTTGTTCTTCCGTCCACATTCTTTGCTCCTGCCATCTGAATAAACCATAGTTCCCCTCACTACCATGCAGACTCATACCTACAGGCCCTCACATCCTGTTCTTTCAAGTCTTTCCCCCTTAAATGCCGAATAACTCCTATTTTCCCTTAACGATACAGCTCAGGAATTATCATCTTTGTCTCTCAAAATTTCTTTTGTGTTTCCCCCAGCAACTGAGCACTCGAAAACTATCCTTGAGACTAACAATTTCACAGTGAACAGGATGAGGAGGACGGAGGGAAGCCCTTTCACAGCTGAAGCTGGCAGCTGCCCACACAGAGTGACTTAGGGGACAGTGAAAGTCAAATTCACAGACACGGAAAGCAGAAAGGTGGTTGACAGGGACTGAGAGAAGGGAAAATGGGAAGTTATTGTTTAATGGGTACACGGCAGATGAAAAAGTTCTGGGGACAGATGGTGGTGATGGTTGCACAACAATGTGAATGTACTTAATGCCACTGAACTGTACACTTAAAAATGATTAAGATGGTAAATTTTATGTTACATATATTTTTCCAGAATAAAAAATATGGAGAAAAAAAGGGGGGCAGTGAAGGGTTTCTAGGCCTTAAACTGCTTTCCAAATTACACTTGCCCTGGGAAGGACCAGGGGATGACTGGAAGGTCAGGTGTGAGTCAGTTGCCTCTGGGAAGTCTGGGAAAACAAGGCACTGGCAGGCCATCAGAGGAAGCTGACAAATGACCAAATGGTGACATGAGAAAGGTGTGAAAACAAATTACACCTGTTTCAGAATTTGATTCAGAAAAATGATGATGTCTATCTGCAGTAAATGGTGTATGTAAAGGAAGCTGTAGAAAATTTTCATTAAAGAAAACCTATATACCTTTGAGATGTGAACAACATAGCAGAGTATTGATGCTGATTTTTGAACATATTAGCAAACTGTAGATTGTTATTGCAATATGCTGTAAATTTATTCTTCTGCATCTTTAGAGGACAATATTACGTATCGAAAAGGGAAGAATGAATCACATCCAAAATTTCCAACAGTCTTTTAAAAAGTATTTACAATTCTGAACAAAAGGCATCACCACATAACTAAACATGGGCCATCTCATTCCACCATTTTGAGAAGTATACAGTGAGGACAACAATATGCAAAAGAAATAACATAGGAGAAGAGTGGAGATGAATTAGGAATGGAGGCACTGTCACAAAAGGCTGGAAAGAGTTAACTCATTTAAACAGAATTCTATAAAGATAGAAAAGTTTTTCCATCAATTTCATTTTCTTCAAGGACAGACAAAAATGAGGACAGGAGAGAGATGAATAAAATGTTATATGGGAAAAGGACTTATTTCTTATGACTTGGGGGGACATAAAAACTGCAAGTTGAATAAACAAATCAAAGAAAAAAGATTTACCCATTTCCAAAATATAATCAGACAGATTTGGACTTTGTTTCAGAGAACCAAAATATATCTGTTACATATTTGGAAGAGCTTGTCCTCAGTTCGTTCTCTCCTTTCTTACTTCATGGCCTTTAAAATAAAACAAGTCTACTAGGTTGTTTTCACAGATATAAAAACTAGTTTCACTATTTCTCTCAAAATTTGGCTACTAATCACTTAAAAATTACCATTTAAACTCTCAGACAACATCATCAGCTCCAAAATCTTAGTCTACTTAATCAAAACTATCAGCACATCTGTGTGAAGAGACACGGGGGCCTCCTTAGTTATGCAGAAATTACCAACATTGAAGGAGAAAAATCTGCTCTCCAGGTGTTAAAATTTAACGGACTATATTTATTAGTGATGCATTTATTCAAATCTCACATTACTAGGTGCTATTCTAAGAACCCAGAAGACTAAGAAGAAAACATTATCTCTGTCCTCAAGGAATTCACCCTTTAACTGCAGATGGATAACTCAATTGATCAATCAGTCGATCTATCTACCTACCTACCTACGTACACAAACACACACCTTATATAACTATAAATAAAAATAATGTGATATGTGTTTTAATAGAAATCCAAAAAAAATGCAATGGGAAACGAGTTGGAAACATCACTCAGCGCCTGGGAGAGAGGTGGGGGGCATGGAGTTGGTGAGGGAAACAAAAAGAGAACCCCAGGAAGATGAAGACTTCATGGAAAAGATGATAAAGAAGCAGTGTAATGATGGATGAAAAGAAGGAGTGTAGTACAAGTGGTAAGATGAGTCTGAATAGATACGTGTTGGTTCAATTATGATGGACCTCAAATTAAGAGTTTGAGCTTTATTTTGTAAAGACGTGAATTGACAACAGAGTTATACCTAGAGAAGGGGTTGGCAAATTTTCTTAAAAGGCCAGACAGTAAACAATTTAGGCTTGCAGGTCATATGGTCTTTATTGCAACTACTCAATTCTGCCATTGCACAACAAAAGCAGCCATAGACAATATGTAAATAGTGGGTGTGGCTGAGTTCTAATAAAACTTTCTTTACAAAATCAGGTGGCCGGTCTGCAGCTTACAGTCTGCTGACCCCTGCTCTCGAGAATAACTCTGGTGATAGTTAGGAAGCAGTCCAGGTGAGAGATGCTGAAGACCTGAGGCAGTGAAAGTGGGAACAATGAAAAGGAAAGGGTTTTGAGAGACTTTTAGGAAGTAAACTCAATAGAACCTCCTGAAGAGAACACCTGAGGGAGGGGAAGAAGAGAGACATCAAAGAAAACATCAAGGTCTCCAGGCTGAGTAAACAGTGATGCTGTTAATTGATATAGTGGAACCGCAGCTAGAGGCATATTTAAATGCTGGGAACATAAGCGCTACTTCAGAAGAATTCCGTTAGTCTTTGGGGGCTATGATTCAATTCCTTGGAAGAAGAGTGTGTCAAAAGACTAAGATTTGCGGTTCCTAAATCCAGTTAAAGGGTTCTTGTTCTGGTTAAGATGTCGTAAGAACATTCTATCATATGTTTCCCAGTGATTACAAGTAAAAACTCTAGACAGAATACATAATGCAACTGTTGTAGGATTCTGAAAAGTAAGAAAGAAAAGGCAGACAGAGTAGGAAAATCAATGCTCAAAGAATGACCACACAGTGGAGAGTTCCCTGTTTTTCTTTTTTGCCTCTCATATCTCCTGAGTTAGCCTACCCTGTCTCCTGGAACTACACATGGGAACAGAAAGAAAAAGCTCCAAGAGAAGCTCCTCTAGTCAGGGAAGAGGCCCTCCTGTGAGATGGAGTGCTTTCAATGCTTCTGGTCCACTCTGAGCCCCAGGAACATAACTGCAAACCTGTCGTGGTGACACTGGGGGCAATCACAGTGGCGGCAGCAGCTTCCGCAGGCTTTTTACTTTCACTGCTTGGGCCCCAGGAAGACTAAGTGTAGGGAGTGCATCATAGTGTGGAGAGGACCAAGCCTTGGCTTTGAGTACTTTTACTCTGATCAAGCAAGAGGGCTAGAAAAAGGAGCCCCTGGGAGATGGGAAGAGTGAGGAAGATCACAGAGAGGAGGGAGATGGAGAAAGGGATTTTAAAATTCTGTGTATGATGTCCTGAGCTCGCTTCCAAGCTGTACATGTATAGAACAAACCAGAATCAACATAACAAAGGTTTTGAGAAAAGAACTATGGTATAGATCACTGTCTAGGTCTCAGACTCTCCCTGGGTGACACACATGCAGAAAAGATCAAAATAGTAGTGCAAAGGCTTTGAAAACTAAACTGACATTAGAATCACAACTTTCAGAAGGTGGTTCAGGACTTGAGGTTTGAATTTAACTGGACTGACTGTTGCTAAAATTAAAAAGTCAACATTGTGCAAAAATTTTAATAGAACTCAGAGTCTCATAATACAATATTCAGAATGTCCAGGATACAACCCAAAATTACTTGACCTCCAAAGAACCAGGAAAACTAAATAAATCTCAAAGGGACAAAGCAATTAGCAGACGTCAACCCAAGACGATTCAGACGTTGGAATTATAGGCAAATACTATGAAGCAGCCATTATAACCATGCTCCTTGAAGTAAAAGTGAACACTCTTGAAATGAACAGAAAGAGAGAAGTTCCCTGCAAAGAAACTGAAGCTATAAAAAAAAAGGCCAAATGAAAATGTTACAACTGAATAATACAATAACAAAAATAAAAATTTCACTGGAGGAACTCAATAGCTGAATATAAATGATGGAGTAGAGTCAATGGACTTGAAAACAGATCAATAGAAATTATCCAGTCTGAACAACAGAAAGAAGAAAAACTGAAAAATGAAAAATGAACCGAGCTGCAGGAGTTTATGGAACAATACCAAAAGGCCTAACGTTTACATCACTGGAGTCCCAAAAGTAGGACTGGTGTAGAAAGTATATTTAAGAAAATAATGCCTGAAAACTTCCCAAATTTGGTGAAGGAAACAAATTTAAAGATTCAAGTAGCTCAGTGAACCTACACAGAATAAACTTAAAGAAAACCATGCCCATAAATATCATAATCAAACTGCTGAAAATCAAAGATAAGGTCTTAAAAGCAACCAGAGAAAATTACGCATTACATACAGGTGAACAATTTAAATGACTGTGGATCTCCCATCAGAAACCACGGAGCTGGGGCCGGCTCCGTGGCCGAGTGGTTAAGTTTGCCCGCTCCGCTGCAGCGGCCCAGGGTTCGGATCCTGGCGCGGACATGGCACTGCTCGTCAGGCCTTGTTGAGGTGGCGTCCCACCATCCCACAACTAGAAGGATGTGCAACTAAGATATACAACTGTGTACAGGGGGGGTTTGGGGAGATAAAGCAGAAAAAAAAAGAAAAAGATTGGCAACACTTGTTAGCCCAGGTGCCAGTCTTAAAAAAAAAAAAAAAGAAAGAAACCACGGAGGCCAGAAGACCATAAAAGAACATTTTTTTTTTTTTTTTTTAAGATTTTATTTTTTCCTTTTTCTCCCCAAAGCCCCCCGGTACATAGTTGTGTATTCTTCGTTGTGGGTTCTTCTAGCTGTGGCATGTGGGACGCTGCCTCAGCATGGTCTGATGAGCAGTGCCATGTCCGCGCCCAGGACTCGAACTAGCGAAACACTGGGCCGCCTGCTGCGGAGTGCGCGAACTTAACCACTCGGCCACGGGGCCAGCCCCCATAAAAGAACATTTTTAAAGTACTGAAGCAAAAGAACTGTCCACCTAGAATTCTATATCCAACGAACATATCCTTCAGGGAGGAAGGTAAAATCAAGACATTCTCAGCTGAAGCAAAACTAAGAGAATTCTTCAACCATTTGATCTGCTTTAAAAGAAATACTAAAACAAGTTTTTTAGGTTGAATGAAAACGATAATAGAGGGAAATTGAGAACTTCGTGAATGAAGAAAGAGCAATAGAAATGGTAAATATCTGAGTAAATATAACACTATTTTTATCCTCTTTAAAATAGGTATGACTGCTAAAATTAAAAAAATATGATATTATCCGATGGGGTTTTCAATGTATGAAGATGTAATACACACGACAACTAACATAAAGTGGGGAGGACAAAGGGGCTAACTTGTATATAACTCCTATATTTAACTTGAAGTGGTAAGATACTAACTCTAAGCAGACTGAAAAGTTAGGTATGTATTTTATAACCCCAAAAGCAATCTGTAAAAAACCACGCAAAGAGATGAAGTAAAAAAGCCAATACATAAGTGAAAATGGAATACTTGGAAACATAAATCCAACTAAAAATAAATTTCCAGTTTAAAGTAGAAATGCTTGAGTCCTCAGCTCTAATCATAAAAAGCAAAGGAGTTACCATGTTTAATACACCAGTGTCCAGCCCACTTCCCCCAACCTGAGCCCAAAGACAAAGTCACCTGTGAAGTTCTGTGCTTTGAGGTGTAGATCGTACAGTTTGTGGATGTAGCGTATATACATCTCTTCCTTGTTCAATTCAGTCTTGTAGAAGTTCTGTTAAAAAAAAAAGGACAGTGTGGATAGTTCCTCAACAGTCAGGCCTGCAAATAGCTGCCTTTTACCCTGCTGAAATTTCATGTCTTGAACCAAGAGAACAAATGCATTTTTCCATATAAATGTCTTTAAAAAATTAAGTAAGGAGGCCCAGTGACATTTTTTTTTGAGGAAGATTAGCCCTGAGTTAACCACTGCCAGTCCTCCTCTTTTTTGCTGAGGAAGCCTGGCCCTGAGCTAACATCCGTGCCCATCTTCCTTTACTTTATATGTGGGATGCCTACCACAGCATGGTGTGCCAAGCGGTGCCATGTCCACACCCGGGATCCGAACCAGCGAACCCCGAGCTGCCAAGAAGCAGAATGTGCGAACTTAACCGCTGAGCCACCGGGCCAGCCCCGCCCAGTGACATACTTTTAATTCAACATTGTCTGTGTTAAACATTACCTAGCAATTATTGGATAAGCTGGTAACTCTTGGGGCGTTATTACCACTGATTCACATTTCTTTTGTTACTCTCTATTATTTTTTGTTAGTTTTACTGCCAATAGACAATCAACCTTTTCCACTAAAAAATATTAAAAATACATAAGAGATTACCCTGTTTACTAAGTTTGATCAATGATATTCAAAGGATAGTTTCTTTAATTTCAAACTTCAAACATGTTTTGCTCTAAAGAAAAAAAGTCTCTATGATATATAATAAGGATGATTAAAAACAATGCAAAAGCATTTTTTTCCTGAAGAATCACATGAAAGGGGGTAAACAAAAATGCGTCTTATTGTTAAGGTGATATTCTGAGTTTCTTACTTGTGTTGGAGTTTAAAGGTTTCCAGTTTATGTCCAAAACATAAAAGGATTAATAACAAGAGATTTATCTCAAATTATTGTTATGGAGGCATGCTTATTAAAAATATTTTATTTGTTTATTTAAAAAAAGTATCTGGATCTTACTAACCTTCTCTAAAATGTTTTAACATTAGTTATCAAAATCTCAGCTTCGACTTACCTGGACACATTATGCGGGCATTTTAAGGTACACTTATAAGCATCCCCACCTACTCCTTCACCACGTTAGAAAGTACATTAGTCCTCAGCGAACTTAGTAAACGTAAGAGCGAATGTATATGAAGTCGGTTTCCAGCAAAAGCATGATGCTGTGAGACTCTAAATGAGGTACTTTCAGCGAGCAGATCATTGTCCATTATGAAATCTCTGCTTAAGCCATCAAAACTATCATTATTGTTGCTATTGTTGTTTTCACTGATGCTACCTGGTATGCAGAAGAAGGGATGAGAGGGGATAAATATGCTGATCTGAAGGAGGGATAGGTTTTTCTAAGGGGGAACGGCCAGGAACTCCAAAAATTTCTGAAACTGAGTAGTAGACAAGGATTTGGTAAGGGACTAAACTCGTCAATGTGGCTGCTTAAATTGCACTTGGGCTTCAAGACTGAGGGCCTTCTGTTAAATGTACTTTTTGCTCACTACCTAACAGGTGTCCACTCATCAATATGAGGACTCTTCTAACCTTGAAACACTGACATTTAGTTCAAAGCATCATAAAAAATATTTTTTTCCAATTTATGCCATTATCCCCTCCCTTCCCCTCTTGCCTCCTGAAGAACTTGGAGTTCTTTTAAAAGCTAAGTAAATAATGCTAGTCACATCTCTCTTATTATAACCAAAATCATTTTAATTAGCAAGAATTGTTGTACCATAAACACAAGTCTAACAAGCCCACAGCAGGTTTTTACATTATTAAAGGATGATTTGCTCTAATAGCTTTCTTGTAAGATGCAGCTTTCTTTGACAACAAAATAAAGAATCACTCTATAAATGAATAATCCTCCTCAAAAAAAAGATCTCTTCAGTTGTCACATGAGAATCTTTCACATATGTCTGGCAAGACTTGTGACACAAAGGACAAAACAATAATTACATTTCCTACTGTGAATCATGTCAACGATTATGCATTTCTACCAATTTGACACTACAGTTAACTCCAATCTTGTAAAGAAAGCCAGAGCTCTCCTGAAGACAATCTGGAATTGATCTTTCCAAAGAGAAGAAAAATCTTTAAGAGGAAGTGAATATAGTTGAAGAGAACTATTTTGCTGCTAGAAAATATCAAGAACTTTCCGTATGGAGTAGAAGCTAAAAAGATGAGTTTCAAAGTTTTATATTTGGTTCTTTAATAATAAATATTCTCGTGCTAGTTTGAAACTAGAACAGCTTTCAAACAGTAACATTTTCTGTAAGGACTATTCTTGGTCACTGCAAAGCTAGCGGGATACATTCTGTGTCTCAAGTGAATACTGATGGGGCCACCGATCTTATTAAGTCTCTGGCTTCTTCTTACTGGGAGACTAGAGTAAACACATGTAGGGCAGAGTATTAATTCTTTCATGCAAGGAAATGATCTCTTCTGTTGTACCAACTGAGGAAATGAACCTGGGGTCTACATTTATTTATTTACCTCCAAACAGAGGGCACTGTGAAACAAGATGGAGACAATGGAAGAAGATTCTTCTGGAAAAAGGTGAAGGCTTTCCTTTGAAGTTATTTATGAGACTTTGTGCCTGGAGCTGGGGTAGAGCCAGGATTAAGGAGACAAACTGAGAGGATCTAAAGCTTCTAGAGCCGTTGGTTTTTCTCCCGAAACACTGATATATAAGAGAGGTAGAAGAAGCTCAGGCTGAGGATCCTGACCATGGTGAAAGGTTGGCAAAAACTGGGGAAATACAGATAGGAAATATAAAAGTAGGAATGTCTACGCTCAAGATTAGAAGTGTATGCTAAAAGGAAAGGTAAGTGGGCTGACCCAGTGAGTTTGGCCTGTTGGCCTAGAAGTTACTGTTGGGTTTGGTGACAAAAATTAAGGAAGAAAGTGCACAATAAGATGTGGCCTTACAGAAGATGCTCAGGTCTCACTATTTCTAGTGACTGGTATTGGAGGTGGAGATGTAACAAATTCAAAATGTGGAAGAAGTGGTGGGTGTGGTAAAGAAGGAGATAGTCATATACTCAGACATGAAGAACAGTGCAGTGAGAAAATGAATTAGGAAAAGAGATAAAAAGACGGTCCTAAGAAAGCAGAAGTCCTGATCTTTGAAGGAATAAACAAAACAAAACAAAACAAAACAAAGAGACTGAAACCAAGGAGCTAAGACAAGACAGAATCAGAGTGGGGGCAAACAAAACTTCAAGGTGCAAATAAAGAACAATAAGGCATGTGAGAAATTCAAACGCTCAGAGTAAGAACAAGAATATCTGTATAAGGGCCTACAATAGATGGTGAGGTTTCATCTATTCTGCAAAACAAGAAAAAGAAAGCATGATATTTACAAACTTAGAACTAGAAGCAGTCACATATTCCTGTATTTCAAATCTGATTAAGGTAAATTATCAACAGCAACAATTTACCCTATACTAAACTATGAAAAATGAATGTCTAGATGTATGGTCATTCTTTTGCTCTGTAGTGAGAATATCATTCTATTTAATAGTTAGTTATGAGACATTTTAATTTGGTTTTCCTAGGACAGTTCTGGTTTAGCCTAATATCCTCACATAATATTTAATCTTACTCTCAAGAATGTCCTGTTTGAGTGATAAGTTATATGGTCATCCTAGTTATAATCCAAGCTTTAAGAATAGTGGTGTACTGGATTTATTTTGTAAAGAAGATGGAAAGTAAAAATTAGCGTGTTAGACAGCTGTCATTTGTTCACAAAAGAAGAGATCACTAATATTTATTAGAATGTAGAATGAATATAAGAAGGACAGAAAGAGACTGTCTACACAGAAGTAAAAAGATCCGGGGACATCATGCTTTTTCCTAGGAGAGCAATAGACTCCAGGAGGGTAAAGCGATGCAAGAGGAGAAGGGAGGGCATCACTCTGGATCTTACAGAGGTCCGCCATCAGAGCTGCGGGAACGCAGCGGGTGCATTCTGCAGTGTTCGGAGCCGAGCATTTTCTGGCATTTAATTCAACCTGAAGCTCTCTATGCTTCTTCTAAAAACACTTCTAACCTCTTCCATGAAACATCCAGGTAAAAAAAAAGACACTGTGGATTAAAAGCAAACAAAACATAGTACTTCTGTGAAAACAAACAAATGTTAGGATACAAGGAGGCAAAGGGGAGTAGTTTACTAACCAGGAGGCTAACTGTGCAGCCAATCTTTTTGCCATCTACCTCTCCCATTTTCATGCAGTCCCTAAAAACAAAAAGCAACAGTCAGAACTCAGAACTTCGTTCCTAGGGGCAAACACAGTTTGTCCAAAAAGTACTGTCAGGGTACAAGAGGCAATTTGCAAGCTGCTGTTCAGATAAAGACTCAGCAGACTAGAGGAACTGCCCCAGGCTGCATAATCTCATGATCCAGGTGAGGTTGGGAGGTCAGACACTCCTGAGCACCAGTTTCTGCTGAGAATTTCACTTCCAGGTGGATTGTGCTTCCTCTCAATAGACAGAAGGCTCAGGAGAAAGAGGACTGAAGGTGTGTTATTGTATACCTCCTACAGTGGGGTGAGAAGTAGCCAGTAAGCTTGGCCATCAACAATGAGAATGAGGGTTTCATTCTTAAAATAAAACAAACACCATGCATTTAAGTGGGGCGAACTGTTTTAACAGTTTAGATAAGTAAAAAATTTTAAAAAATTATGTCTCTGAAAGGTAACAGTGTATCAGTCTCCTCCCCTTTTATAAGAAAGCAGCATGGTTGTACAATTTTCTGTTACACTGTCTTCACCCTAAAATCGATGGATCTACTGGTTCTAGTGGGTGAGTATAAACACCAAAAAAAGATTCCTTTCATAATGGGACTCTGAGAACCCTCCCAATTCACTAAGACTTTAGAAGAACTGTCAACCAAAACAAAACAGGAAAAAAAAAAGGGAAAAAAATCCTCTGAACCAACTAGTTAGAAGTCCATTCTCTTATTGCACAAGGTTCCATGGTCTGATGATCAGTTCTTTAGGGATTAACTCAAGTGGAAGGGTGATTCTATTCTAAGTCTGATTTTCTAAGTGGAGCACAGCATATCTGGAAAATGTGGGACTCAGCTTACCTGTAATCTAACAATCTCTCCATTAGTCGAGTTACAGTGGCAATTAATGAAACGCCACTTTCCCTCCATGTTTCCCGCTCAATTTTCTTCAGTAGACTGGAAAAGAAAGAACCCAGGGCATTTTCAACATTTATTTTTATCAGTCACCATGACAACCATTATACTTTCATCAGTACCTTAAATGCCTTAGCAACCACTGCAACATCTCACAAGTAGCACAATTTGCAAACAATGTCTTACCTAGGATAGGGACCAAATAGTGGAATTCTAATCCAGGAAGCATTGACAAAGCAAATTGATTTTCAGATTATCCAAGTCATAAAACATGAACACATGCATAGAATCATACTTTCAAAATATACAAGCACCTCTCAGCTCAAAGACATTTTTTCCTAGCTTCTCTCTTACACTAACAGAAGCTTGCGCCTTACCACATCAAATAACACTGCAAAAAGCAAAAACAGGAGTGCCTCTAAGTTTACTTTTAAGTAAGATCTTGCTTTATTCACATGAAATATTTTCCTACCTCTCAGTGGAGTGCATCTTCATCCAAGCAATTTTACTGCAATGCAACTGCTACAGGAAAATCCTGGTACAGACGGTATGACGTTTTGCGTTTTTTCCTTTCACTTAACATTTGCCCACTCAATACATATTGTACTATCTGTGCACTCGCTCAACAGTTTCATTCATTTTGTCATTAATCACAGAGCATTTTCTATGTGGTTGTTACAGCAGATTGATAACAAGTACTGAACCACATCTCTCCTCCTACATTTCCCCTAGTCTTACGCACCTTAGAGCAGAGGTACTATGTAAACACAAAATAATAACAATCAGAATAATTAGGATCTGTTTTACTTTCACTCCCACCTCTTGGCAAATTAACGATATACTTGGCAAAGCTTTTATGACTGACCTTTCCCGAAAAGATAAAAGTAAGAACACAAGCATGGCAATATGAGGGTACTTCCCTACCCCTCCAAGTCGAATGATCATCATTTCTGTCTCAAATCTTGTTTCCCTTTCATCTTGGTTTCAGGAATAACAGAGAGAGAAAATATTTCTTACAAGTACAATCTAAGCCTACCATATATTTTCCCTAGTGGAAAAAGAAACACTAAAGAAAAAAGCTATTTTGTCACAGCTTTGTTTTGGTCTGTGGCTATGTCCTCTCCCAATTTTTCTCCCCTCTTCTTCTTGCTTTGCCATTCCAGTGCCCAGCCTTCTGTCTTATCTCCTCATCTGTTGCCCATCCATCCCTGATCATTTACTTTTCTGGTTTATTCTGAACCGTTTCCTAGATTGGGGGTGGGAGGAGAAGTAGCATATGAAGGGATGGAGCTTTCCCTGATCAATCCCCCAGGGAAAGGTCTCCTAGTTTGTTTAAAATGTGTTTTCTTTTTCAAAACCTCCGAATAACACCTGTTTCAAGCTGAAATGCCAAATTGGTATTGAACCAAGTACTCAAATGAAAATCTGCCTGCCAAAGCAATGCAGGATGATGTAAAAATTTCCCCATGTGACAGCCCACTCATACCTCATACACTTTAGAGGCTGAAAAACAAAGAACTCAAGTTAAGCAATAATTCTAAAAATATACGGAGACTTCTTTTATGGGCATGAGTTTCATTAATTTGCACAGCCTCCTGATGCAGTAAGAAATCAGCTACATAATCCTCCGGTAAGAAGACGCAAAGCTCTGCAGGGCCTATTTCCTTGACTAACTCAAGACCCAAATGTTAGGACCAAGTCTAGAACCTGATTCATCTGCTTTCTCAGCCAGGCTTGTTCTTTCTGTTGGGAAGCTTGCTTTCGCAGTTTACCTGATACAATCTGAGAAGGGGAGGCATCAGCAAAAACAGGAGTCTTTCTAGATAACTTGTTTGATTTAGGTGGTTGGATGTTTGGACATTTTCATTTGGCCTATAATCATGCCCAGGTGCCCACATTGAGTATACAGGGAACTAATTTAATAACAGTAAAAGGTGATTTCTTATTGCTAATTGATAGGCAATGGGACTCCCTAACATCAGGGAGCAGGATAAACAATGGCTCTGCAGGACGACGTATTGTTCATCAGGCTTTTAGTCTATGAAAGAAAATGGAGGGGTGGGATTTGACCCCCAATCTACCTTTCTCTGTATCATAACAGGATTGTGTTGAGGCTATCACTCTTATATAAAACACCTGTGTCTGTGCACGCTCTTCTTAAACAACCCAAAGAGTTAGATAATCTAAAGTAGGTGTCACATAGTTAATCCTCTGTCTCCAAACTATAATTAAATGTAATCACTAAATAAAGATCTTTGAAATGATTTGGAGTCTTATACCTAAAGTAGGTGTCACATAGTTAATCCTCTGTCTCCAAACTATAATTAAATGTAATCACTAAATAAAGATCTATGAAATGATTTGGAGTCTTATTGAATTATTTAGAGCAACACATGAGGAAGCAGAGTAAAGGACTAGGGAAAGAACTGAACTGGATGTTACCTCTTCTGGAAAGCCCCTTCAAAGCCCCCAGGGCTGTAGATACCCCTACTGTGTGCTCCTACAGCACAGTCTCTACAGCATCCTCAGCTCTGGAAGAGTCCCTGGCACAGAGAGGTGCTCAATAAATAAAGCCAAATCAGTAAATCAAGCGGAGCCAGGGGATGCAGAATTCAGTCCTGAGGCTCTATTCTGGATACGTCACATTGGCGACCATGGTACACAATTCCAGCATTATCAAAAATAATAAATCCTGACTCCTACTTATTTCAAAAAGATGTAGTATGGGTAAACGAAGACAATGATAGGGGTTAGGGAAAGAAGTTCTTAGAAAGGAAGGTACTATACAAATTTGAAGTCTCATTCTAAGGAGACCATTTTGGCAAAGAACCACATTTTCGGCAAGCAACGAGGTACTTTCAACCTCTGAACAAATTTTAAGTTTTAGACATGAATTACAGAGGACAAATGAGAATCTGTACCATAACAGCATGTGTTCCGAATTCATAACGTGCACAGTGACTCACTGTGATTACACTAATTCACTGGGATTTCCATTGCCAAAAAAGCATTTTATTGTTTCCTGAAATATAGTTAGGTTTTATTTTCTTTTCTGAGCCCAGGTAGTAATGATATTTAATTATTACTTTAGATTTTACTTATTCCCAATATGCTGCTCATAAAAGCATGAAAGAAAAATATTTATAGTAACATTTCTAGTAATACGCTAAAAAATCAACAAAAGAATAAAAATTTCCATTGATGAATCAGGCACCTTAAAATAGTCCTAAGGACAGAGGCTTAATATTTTAATCATTGGTTTGATTCTAACGTCAAGGTACATCTTCTATTTCAATGTCATATTTATATACAAGCAATCCAAATTCATGCTATAAGGCCTTTATTAAAGTAGATAAGAGGCACTACAGAACTATGTGAGTATTTATTAATCTTGTGAATTTATTATAAATAATTAATCACAAATCTCAAGAGATTCATTTCACTGAGTGCTTTCTCATTTTAGTTCTTTGTTCAAACCAAGAACTAGTCACTGAAATGAGAGCAGTCTTCAAAAGCAATTTATTATATTGGATGAGGTTTTAATCAGAATTCTTGCTAAACTCCAGCTGTCATGAAAGACAGACGCTTTGCATGCTAGAATGAATGAGGGCTTGGTGAATAATTATTAAAAGTTCCAATTTAATTACAGTATCAGAAGAAAATGGTGTTTTTCAGGATTCAATACAAAGAATGTATTTCATCACCCACGACCACAAGAAATCTGTATACCCCTCTTGGCTTTTCCTTTCAATATAATTTTCTTAAAAGCTTGAAGAATGATTTTGAATCAGGCAGGTTGAAATCTATCAGCCACTAATAACATTTTTCAAACTTATATGGTAATGTATCTACTTTTTAAAATTAATGATCATAAAATGAATTACAGAATTTTGCATTGGCTATCAGTTCTACAGCATTAATATTTAGCTTTAGGTGATACTTGGGCATAAATACAAGTAAAAGTATATTTTGTAACAGAAAAATGTATTGCTGAATTATTTTTGCACTTCTGAAAGAAATGCAAACATTTCCAAGCACACTGAGCTAGCTCTTCCTTAAAAAAAACACTTACAAATATTAGGTTTGAAACAAACATTTCCAAGCACACTGAGCTAGCTCTTCCTTAAAAAAAAAACACTTATAAATATTAGGTTTGAAAATGACTAAGATCCATAGAAAGCTGTAGAGAAAACAAGTGTTAGAATTAAAATCCTGAGAACTAAAACATTCTCACATGTCCTCTCTGGCCATTTCACACAGTGGCTGAATACTTGGTACAGGCAATTTATCCTGTGACTGTGATCACATTCTATTGGTAAGGACAACCTCAAAGTCCCTTTACAGCATTCCAGTATTTCTATATCCTCCATACAAATCCAAATCACAGAAGTTACTACAAATGATTTGCTTCTGTGATGTTCTAATAAGAAACATTTAGAAAGCAATTAATAATAGAGTGAGTGATCAGTATTGATGAATTAAATCAAGTGTTGAAGAACAGATGCAAACTAGGTTACTTTTCCCAACAAATCACCCAAGGATATCTTACTTAGGAAAGCATCGCACACCTCTTTTTCTTCTTCCACTCATAACCTTCCTTAAAATCATTATCTTGCAGCCCCAGTTTTAAAATTCTTAGGCATGAAAAGAGTAGGATTTGTTACGTAACACATGTGACCTGTCCTAATCAGAGATTAAAATAAGGAGACATGCCTAACCATCAAAACAATAAGATCCATTCACCAGAGTTAGGCAATTATCCTTTATTTCACACTCCACAAAGACAAAGCACTCCTGTGAGACCCAAGCTGGCTTTGTAGCTCTCAGCTGCTAAGCAATGACACCAAATCCCCTGAATAGAATTGACCTGAGATAAACATATTACTCACATACTGTTGAAGAGCTCGCGGTATGTTTCATCACCTTTGCCTTCTGACATCAGGCTATCCAGTTTGTCAATTAGCTTGGCTTCCACCTGAAACATGCCCAAATATTACTCTTTCCTCCCCTTCACAAGTAGGATTTCTAGGCAAACTGAAACATATTTATATCTGCAAGGGGAAAAGCCACAGTAAATTTTGTGAAAGTGACATTATCAGCTGTGGTTAATAGTAGACACCCCCTTGGAATTGTAGGGGGCTAATTTAGATGGAGCAACATGGCTTCAAACTCCCAGCAGGGTGGCACTTGCTGCTGCCACAGACATCTATTTGTTGATTCAAACACAAATGCTTGCAGCCCAGCTTAAATGTTTGAATTCTCTTTTAGGAGCTATAAAAACTGGCAAGTCCTATTTCTTTTTTTTTTTTAATCCCTATATAAGAACATTCACAAACATTAATTTAAATCTTTGATGTGTTTTATATCTATTTTCTTTCTCAAAACAATTTCGAGGTTGCACTAAATCTCTGCTAAAGTTGAGAACTTGTCCTATCCATGTACAGATGGTAGATCCATAGAAATATTCTAAGGTAGCAATAAACAGTATGAGAGAGAAAGGGCATATTTCCTGTAAACTGTAGTCAAAACATTTATATTTTCAAGAACATAAATCCTTTAGGACTTGACTATCAGGAAGGCAGAAATATCCCTTCATCTATCTGAGGCAGCGGAATACAGAAAATGAAAAACCTCTGCATGGCCAGAGAGAGTTAAACAACTAGGAGTTGGGGGGATATTTGATTTTGTCAACAGACTAAGCCCAATTATTCCTTTGAATCAAATTTCAATAAAAGGATAAAGACAAAAGGGAAGGAAAGTGGATCCCCTTCCAATATAATTTTAAAATAGCCTTTCATTCACCTACTAGCTTTCTTGAAAAGAAATGTCCATATTGGTACAGGTGAAATGCCACGCTTTTGGCAATAGGAGGGTTCACTGTATGATTCAGCTTGCTCACACAGTTGACACCACTCCTAAGAGTTGAGAAAGGCTTTATCTGGTGAAACATGAAGGAGGGCCAAACCCTTCACACAGGTTAGGTTAGTGCAGTGACTGTGAACAGACAGTAGGACTACTACCTCCATCATGAGTGACTTGGCATAGCAAAAGCAGCTGATATCTTAGGAGATCTGGTTGTGTGATAAGAACATCTGTCTCTCCAAGACTAGTGTAGAGTTATTAGAACCTATGTCAATGAGAAATGATAGGCTCATCTTCTCAGACTTTCCTTTCCAAGAATTTCTACTGCTTTCCCTTTAAATGAATTCTTGATGCTTCAAGCAAAGAACAATAAAACATACTGTGCATCAAATGCTCAAAGCTAAGCCATTCACCAAATATAATGTGCAGACCACTGAGAGCTCAATGATTGCAAGAATCATTAACCTGATTCCTCTGTGTTGTGTCCAACTGGAAGCAAAATACATCTCTGCCAGTTCTTAAACATAGACCTGGGAAATCACAGAATTTTTTAGCTGAAAGGGAATAAAATGGTTTTTCAGGGCTTCCCCAGAAGCTCAGGGGAACATCGGACTAGAGAGGTATCCAAGGCCACATGGCTTGGGAGTGGGCAGGCCAGGCTGGAATCTGGGTCTCTTGACGGCTGGTTCGGTGCTCATTTCCCAACTCAGAGTTGAATCTGGGAGCTCAGATATGCTTGAGGAGAACTGAAACTCTTCCAGCTGCTCTGAGGAGCACATCCACCTACCTGTTTAAAATTTCCGCTCCGCCTCTGCTCCCAGTCCATCATATCATGAAAAATAGGAATCATGACATTCCGGAGATCCGGCTGGGGTATCAAGGTCACTTCTAGGAAGGGACCAATCAGGGCAGGGATGAAGTGAAGCTTGTGTTCTCCTAAATGGAATAAAATATTTGTGTTTCAGTATATTTAGTCTTAATAAGATTTTAGAAAATTAATATTATAAAATTTATTTAAAACTATTGCTACAAGTATATTCAGTTACAGTTGTCTTCCAAAGTAAAAAAATTTTTCCCTAAGCAGATACATAAACAGTAAATTTCCATGTGTTAATTAACATTTCTCCATCATTTTTTATTAAAACACTAGAGATTTACTTTGTTAACAGTTAAAAAAAGCCATATGATACAAGTAAAAATTGCTTAAATCATTAGGAATTGGTTATGTATACCATTGTACATTCACACGTTAAAACTCTTACGCAGCCATTAAAAATGAGGTTGAAGAAGGATAACAGGCAAAGTTTTCAATATAATTAACTGAAAAAGCGAGATACGATACAGTATTTAAAGGCACAACATCTTCCATTTAAAACATCTATATAGACAAATATGATAGTCTAGAAGATTATATCTGCTAATGTTAACCACAGTGGTTATCTCTGGGTAGAGGATCACAGGTGATTTTTATACATAAAAAAGATGGTTCCTATCTGTATTTTATAATTTTCCTAGTGTGTTTTTACATAATAAACACACGGCCTAAATAAAAATGTAAACGGTGGTCCGAAAAACATATAACAATTTTCTGAAAAGACTACAATGTAATAACAGTGAACTCAAAATGGTATATTAGCAAGTACTCAAAGGTATGGCGCTGATAATTCAGAGGAAAGGATGGTAGAGGGTGAGGTGGGCACAGATGATTTCATCAAGCAGATGAGTGTTGAGTTTAGTCCACTACCCTCATCATCTATGTTAAATCACAAAGAGTTTCTCTTTTTATGGTGAGAATACTGTATGCTACGGAAAATGCACTATTTCTCAAGAACTAACCTTCAACATCATGGATGAAAGCATATGATACTGAAACTATCTATTTAAAACCCACAGAGGGGCCGGCTCCTTGGCCGAGTGGTTAAGTTCACGTGCTCCGATGTGGCGGCCCAGGGTTCACATCCTGGGCGCAGATATGGCACCACTTGTCAGGCCACGTTGAGGCGGCGTCCCACATCCCACAACTAGAAGGACATGCAACTCAGATACGCAACCGTGTACAGGGGGGGTTTGGGGAGATAAAGCAGGAAAAAAAAACACAAAGACTGGCAACAGTTGTTAGCCCAGGTGGCAATCTTTGGGGAAAAAAATAAAAAATAAATAAATAAATAAATAAAACCCACAGCACAAGTTGGGAAGCTGAGCAGAAGATGGCTGGCTTCATGGAAGAGGATGATTTCCCCCTTTTCCTCTTTTCTACCTTTGATCTTTTGTAGTAAGGGTTGAATACGAACAAAATCATACTGTTCAGGCTTACTTGCCAATTTCAGAGTTATATACCTTCACATTAATTATCATTTTCTCTATTTCATTTTTTGTACTCGAAGGCATTAAGGTAGCCACAGAGCTTGGACATATATAAATCCAGGGTGCAAACAGACAGTTTAAATTTCTATTGACTTTAGAGGGATTTTTAAAGAAAAGAGAATATGAAAGAAAGAATTTGGAAAGAGGAAAAAAATGATGGATGAGTCAGCGATGGCAAACCAGCGATGGGTGTTTGTGAAGTCACTGGTTTTTGTGACTGGAAGTGCCGTGGGATATTTCCGCCGTTCTTCAGAAGGTGGCCCCATCCCTTTTTCTCAATGCCATGGGAGCTTAGCAGGACACGCTCGCAGGCTCCTGCCCAGCTGAAAGTCCCTTTATATCACTGAAGTCACACAGTCCTTTCCTCTCTGAGGATTCATCAGAAGTAATTTGTTTCTCATCCTCTCTAAATTACTTATCCACACTCATGCATGTGAGGAATAACTTGACTTTTTCTTTCCTATCTTTACTTTTTTTTTTTTTAAAGATTGGCACCTGAGCTAACAACTGTTGCCAATCTTTTTTTCTTTTTCTTCTTCTTCTTCTCCCCAAAGCCCCCCCAGTACATAGTCGTATAGCCTACTTGTGAGTGGCCCTGGTTGTTCTATGTGGGATGTGGCCTCAGCATGGCCTACCGAGCAGTGCCATGTCCGCACCCGGGATCCGAACTGGCAAAACCCCGGGCTGCCAAAGCGGAGTGCATGAACTTAACCACTCGGCCATGGGGCTGGCCCCTCCTATTTTCATTTTTGACCCAGGTAATATTTAATCTTTCCCAAGGGACTGCTTAGTTTTCCTCATCAGAGCAAGAACATCTCCTTCTTATTCATCAAAAGAAACTTCCTTATGAATCTAACCTTGGATATTTTCCTCCAAAAGAATGAATAATTTCAAGATCAACAAAGTCACTGTAGCACAATACACAGAACCATCAACTCATGGTCTTCTCCCTGTATTCCCCTATCCTCCCAACATACATATATCAAGCAGGTAACTAGCAGCCAGCGTTGGCAATTCCTTTCCTCAGTTACTTTCGTCAGGGCAGAAAGGAGAAGCAACGTGAACTCAATCACTCTTACTATCATTTGTAAAAGCCTAAACCCACTCAATCCTTATTCAAGATGTCGTGGCAAGGGAGAGGAAGAAAGGGAAAAGGGAGAAGGAGATTCTTGTAGAGACAAAGGCTGGCAAGTCCTGAGATTACCTGCCTTACACCTGTTCTGTGACCCTGCCCTGGGAGACGGCGTAGGGCTTCAGAGTCTAGCCACAGATGCTGTGCCCCAGCAGAGCCATGGACTGAAGGGACCACGTACACAGGAAAAAGGCCATCTTGGCATCTGGCTAATAACCAGGAGGGCCTCCCTGCCACCTTGACACTGTGTGAAGTCACCAAACTTTTGCAGAGCTTTTGGTGCGTGGGGTAAAGGGGGATGGGAGAGGCAAGGAGCACAAAATACAATGGAATTTCCTGCCAGCCCGGATAGTTTTCCCACGGCTGCCTTGGTGGAATGAGATTCAAGGCAGCTACATTACGATCTTTGTTTTTAATCTTTCCTGAGCCTGACATCTTTTGGCCTCTCTAACAAAGAACATCATCAACATGCACTTATTTTATTTACCACCATTTGCTTGAGTATTTTTGAATCTCTTTTTTCAAAATCTTTTCCATTTATAGATATTTTACAACCCTATTTTCTTCTCTGAAAAATTTTTTCTATGAAAAATCTCACATGTATACAAAACTATAAAGACTAAAACAGATCCCCACGTACCCATGATCTAGCTTCAATAATTACCAACAATTTTGCCAATCCTGTTTCACCTATTGCCCCAACTATTTTTTTCTCTAGCGTATTTTAAGGCAAGTCTGAGATATCATATTGTTTTACTTGTACACACACCAGTAAGCATCTTTCACAGGTAGGACATTTCATAAATACAGAATCACAATGCCTTTATCACACCTAACAAGGCAAACAATAATTCCTTAAATTAATCTAAAATCCAGCCTATATTGAAATTTCTGATTGTCCTAAAACATGTCATTTCCAGTTGCTTTCTTTCAATCACAACCCCAACAAAGTCCATACAAGACATTTTGTAGCCTGATTTTCTATTGGCAGTAAAGAAGCCACACCTACATTTACATCATCATGCAGGAATGTATGAGGATAGCCTCACTTGCTGAAAACACACTGAAAACACAGAATCTGTGCAAATCTGAACAGGCTCTCCACCATAGAAAATTTAATTCCTCTCCAATCAGCAAAGCAAAATCTTGAGGCGTGTATGGCAACAGCAAACCAAACTTCATTTAAATGATTTCTCTTTCAACTGCAGATTTAGTATACTTTCCCCATCTCTAATTGTCAGCCACATGGTCTTGTTTTGAAGTATTTAGGACACCTGCTTCTTGGGTTGTTGGAGTTTTATATTTATGCACACAGAACAGCCTGCTAGGGAAGTATTGATTTTTCTGCAGCAGTTACAAGATGCTGTGTTTGCAAATGTGGAAGAAAGAGCCCACTGTATATTTAGTAAGAATGTTAGTTCAACTAAAAATAGAAAGAAAAAACTTAACCCTGCAGCATGATGAATGCCAAAGGTGGGACACAGTAGTAAAGACTAACCTCTTTCTTTGCAGACTATTCTTGTAAGTGTAGGTACAAATGTATACAATTTTAGGGGAAGATTCATGCCTTCCCCCCACTCTTGACATAATATTTTTGGTTCTTCTACTCAGAAAATGAAAATACTGAGGAACATTTGAGAAAAGGTGTTCACTTCTCACTACTAGGTCTTTATTTTTTTTTTTTTGGTGAGGGAGATTGGCCCTGAGCTAACATCTGTGCCAGTCTTCCTCTATTTTATTTTTTGGATGTGGGGTGCCACCACAGAACAGCTTGATGAGTAGTGTGTAGGTCCGTGCCTGGGAACAAACCTGTGAACTCCGGGCTGCTGAAGTGGAGCCAAATGTAACCACCATGCCACTGGCTGGCCCCAGTCCTTACTCTTTAAATATAAACTATTTTATCAAAACCACAATTAGATACCACTTCATATCCTTTAGGATGGCTACTATCCACACTTCTGAGTTAAACATAAATTACCAAAATCTGATTTAAAAATATTGTCCAGTAAAATTTGTGTTTTCAAATTAGACCAACCGAACAGCTTCAAGTGGCAAAAAGTGTTTTCAGTGACTGTGGGCATTTCCTCTCTTCTATCTTCTAAAAGTTAGTGTTATTTGTATCTACTAAAAACTACTGAAAATCTTGGTTTATGAAATCATAAAAGCTTATTTGCTTTACTAAAACTTGGCGAATTTGTCTTTATCAAGCTTTTTCCTGTTCCACAAAAAGTGGACAAAAAGTTTAAAATATAAACTTTAAAAACTAAGCTCTTAACAGGTATGGATCATTTTTTTTGTATCCCCCCCAAAATAACTTATACATAGCCAGTGTTTTATGAACTATGCTAAATTGAATTTGTCGGTCTGTTCCATTAAAAATTACAAATCTATCATTATCTAAATAAATTCTCCTTTAGCATTCAAAATACTCAATATGACATATTTATAGGTAAACCAAATTATAACTAACATATTTTGATATTCCTAAGTAACAAGCTGACTTGTTATTTAGGTCTAGATGAGGTGTTAAAATAGTACCCTGAATACTTAATTTTTCTTATCATTTTTCAAAAATATATGTTGGAAGAGATGCTTTAACATTTCTGAACATTTTCCAATTTAAAATTCTTTTTTAAAATTCACCTTATGTTTTGGAAGTCTCAAAAAAGTCAAGACACAACTCTAGGGAAATAATGCAGAAACCAAGGAATGAAGTGAAAATTTACACTCGTCAGACACTTGAACTAGTCATGCTGAGCATCCCTAGTCGAGTAAAATGAGCTTTTCTAACAGAGTCCTAGACCTGTGCTAGAGCTAGTCTTTAGGGCTGGAAAAACAAAGAAAGGGGCCATTGTCTAGAGCATTGCTTTTCAATCTTTAGCCAAGTGCATAAGAATCACCTGGAGAACTTGTTAAAACTCAGATTGTTGTGCCCCTGTCTCAGAGATTCTGTTCCAGTAGGTCTGGGGTGGAGCCACAGAATGTGCATTTCTTACAAGCTTCCAGGTGATGCAGATGCTGCTGGTCTGTTGAGAGCCACTGTTCTAAAGACTACTGACATAGCAATGTGTTACGGGGATCAGTATGCTCCAGAAATTTTTCACATTCTCTAGATTTCTGAGGAAAATAAAGAAGTAATTTAACATAAAACCCAGAAGGATAGAAATATTTCTGTTTTAAAGACAAAACAGAGGAGAAAAGTTTATAGAGGATACAGTGACATCTTTAGGGGGACTAAAGGTGCCAGCTTTATTCAGCAAGCCAAGGGTCATGGGCCTACATGCATAGCTAACCTTGGCTTGGATAAAGATTTATGTGGAAATAACCATACTTGGCAATGCTAAGATTTATCTAGAAGAGGAAATCTGCCATGTTTTCTAAAATTCTAGCAACACAAACGAATCTGCCCTAGTCCTATCATTTTAGCTCTGACAAGAGCCTAAACAACCACAATAGCACTCCAATGCAGCATTCTTCGGAAAACACCTTGCTAAATTTATGCCAAATGCAATATGGACACTCCAAGGGCCTTGATCTGCTTTTGAAAACCAAGGACACAAAGAATCAAGGAAACAGGAAGACTGAGAGGAGTGCTCTTCAAATAAGACAATCTGATGCTATTTTTGAGCCTAATTTAAAGACACATCATGGACTTCTGGCTGGCCTTAGATAGTTGGAAGTTGCTTTCAAGATGCTAACTCACCTTTTTTTCTGAAAGTACTAGCAAGCATTGAACCCTGGGCTCAATCATATATAACAAGGCTATCTCAAATTGCAATGCATTTTTGAGAGATATACATATCCTGGTCAAAAATCACTCTGTAACATGAATTGAAGTAAAAACGGTAATGGTTCTACTTTCGCTTAAAGAAAACATATCCTGCCATCTCTAAGTTGTGCTTGAATGAACCCAAGAGAAAAGATACTTTCAGGTCATTACATATTCAATTCAAATAATTCCACCACTTTAATAAATCGCAAGGAGGAATTACAATGCAATAATAGTAAATTAATACTATAAACTTGCATAGTTAACATACAGAATTAAGGAAGTTATGAATCTCTAGGAAAAACCCCTATGCCAATAAGATTTTAAAATAATTTATTTTCTTAATATTCTTTTTTATGCAACCAAGTCTGTGCCATCAATTTGTTGAAATAGTAGGCTCTATCTGATGTGGCAGATTAACAAAATTGGATCTAATTATTTCTTAGCAACTGTAGATCCTTTTAAATCCTTTGGCTATACTCTTTATGATATAGGTCAATGTTGTCAAGTTTTTTAAGAGAAGCGATGCTTGAGTCAATGTTTCATGAAGTTTAATCTTAATTTTTTTATGATTCACAGCCTCAATCCAGAATTCCAAAAATTTTGAGTTGTTATATTTCCAAATTCTGAAAGGTTAGCTCATTGCTAGAATTGCATGTATTATTGGAGCAATGCTAAATTATAAAATTTGTCATTCAATAATAATGAAACACACAAAGGTAAAGTGATTTTTTCAGACAGATGCCAATTTAAAGAATTAGTTGTAACTCTATTCGATGCCAAAGTGTCAATTACTTTCTATAGATATCTTTATTGATTTAGACATTTGGTTTCAAATGCTGTCATTGGTAACTTGCCCTTCTTCATTTGTACACTTAAAAGTACAGTGATGAACTATAAAATGGAAGTGGCGTCTCTTTTCATCACTTACCTAGGTTTTGCCACATGCTGAAAATTTCACAACCCATTGTTACCCGCATGTCACCATACCTAAAATAGAACAAAAATCAAACCTGACACAAAAGCTCCAGAACAAAGAAGTATTTGTGTCTCTTAGGATACCATCTACCATTCTGAATCAAAAGGCAGTATGTTTCTAATTAAAGATATTTAATGTACATCTTTTTTTATTGAGGTATAATTGACATGACATTATACTAGTTTCAGTTGTACAATATAATGACTTGATATTTGTCTATATTGCAAAACGATCATCACAATAAGTCCAGTTAATGTCCATCACCATGCACAGTTACAATTTTTTTCTTGTGACGAGAACTTTCAAGATCCACTTTCCCAGCTACTTTCAAATGTGCAATACAGTATTATCAACTATAGTCACCATGCTCTACATGACATTTCTATGATTCATTCATTTTATAACTGGAAATTTGTACAATGTACATGTCTTGATGCCTCTAATTAAAATTCTCATATAAATCCTTCAGTAAAATAGATTTGTCTCATAATTTTTCGCTTCTATATTAATTTTGAATCCTGAAAGATTGAGGACAAAAATGTGCGAATAAGTTCGAAATATGGAAATTTCCAGAAAAGATTGCTTATTGTCCTCTTGGTTATTGCCTCTCCACTGTGATTTCCAGTTACAGAAATCTGATTTACGAATCACTTGAACTAAGCACCCTTTAAAAGGCACAACACTTGTGCCTTATAGTCCCACCCGATTACGCACTGGTACTTACTTTTCTAACACCTTTTTCTTTTTGGAAGGTGTGAACATCTCTAATTGCAGACACAACTGGTTTATAAAAATGACTGCAAGGTAAAAGTAGGAATCCCAGATCTAAAATGAGAACAAGATATTTAAATACTATGGTGTTACAAAAATATTTACAGGTGAAGTGACACTATATCTTGGATTTTCTTGAAAAGCGGTAAGTGGATGGGGATATAGTTGCAATAAGATTGGTCATGAGTTGATAATAGTCAGAGCTGAAGATGAGTACATGGGATTGATTACACTATTCTCTCTATTTTTATATATGCTTGAAATTTTCTATAACAAAGAAGTAAACTAACACCATCTACTTATTTATTACTTCAATGATATATCACAGGTTTCCTGAGCTCTCTTGTATATGTTAAATGGTAGATATTTTGATTCTCCTATAACATGTCTGTGTATCTCCAGGGAGGGTGAGGTATAAGATGGTTTACTTTATTCCTATGAAAATTCATTTTTTGGAACTTTTAATGTAGAAGTAAAATAAAAATACATATACTTCTTTGTATATGCTAATTGCCTTAAATTCAGAAAGTATATAAAAATTCCCTGCCCAGACAAATTTTTTGAGTCTAAGGTTTCTTACACCAAAAATAGCATCAGAATAAAATTCCCAGCAATAAACTTAACCAAAAACATTTAGGACATAACGGAAGGAAACAGCTCTACTGACACCATGTAAAATTAAAGATAAACAGCAGGAAAATATTACAAAGAATTAATATCTTTTATACATAAAGAGCTCTTACAAATAAAGAGAATATGATAAAACCCTGAGCAAAACAATGAATGAAGATCAAGAACAGACAACTGAAAAGATATGAATTTTAGTCAATAGTCAATAATTAATAACTATAAACTAATCAATAATTAGTAACTAATAAATAGTAAGAAATGCTAATTCAAGCAAAAAAGATTTTTTCCCCTAGGAAATTGTCAAAAAAAAGTCTTATTTTCTCATGTTGGTATAGATACAGGAAAACAGGCCAGCAAATATAAATGGTACAACCTTTAACTCAACAATTCCACCTATAAATATTTATCCAAAGAAATAATTAGGGATATATACCAAGTTTTATTTTGTGAGGAGTACATAAAAAGGATAAAATTTATAAGAATGAAATAGTAGAAACAACTTAAGTATTAAAAAGTAGAGTTCTGATTATCAAATTCTGATATACTAATTATTACAAGATCTGATATAAAGAAATATTGAGCAATCATTAAAATTCTCTTTTTTTTGTATATGTGCTTTTTTGTATTTTTTACTTATTGCATAAGGAAATTTTATTAAATGTTTAATATGAAAAATGTTATTTAAAAAAGAATAAGAAATAAAGATGCCAAAAAACATATGACACCACTAAGAAGGGAAGCCAACATGGGTACTGCCCACCTTTGTTTATCATTTATCATTTGCCATTTAAAAAATGTGTAAATCAAGAATTCTTAGGCACCCAGACATATCACATTATATTATAGATGTACGGAGAGTTCTGCCTTAAAGAATCTTATTAATCTTCCAGGTTTTTCTTTTGATTAATTCATTCTAAAAAATGGGAAGATGGAAAAGTAAAGGAAGTAAAGGGTTCACTTTGTAAATATGTTCCTCATATAAGCTCTATTGTAAAACATGTCTAAAAACATTAGTTCTAAGTTCCCTTTGTCACGCATGGAGATCATACAGAAAAAAATGAGAATTAAAATTTATAGTAATCATAAAGAACTCTCTCCTCTAAAGCACTATGATTTCCACCAGGATGAGAAGCATGATTACAGCTCTAATTTGTTCACAGATATAATGAAATCTCTTTTCATTTTATTCATAGTTAAAACTAATATGGCCCAAGATTAATTGAGGTAGCTGGAATAAACTTATTTTCCTATTATTAAGAGAAAGAAAATATATTAGGTCATTTCTTGAAGTACAATGTGAAACTTTTTAGCCCAAGCAGGATAGTCACCTACATGGATACTTACCTTATAATCAAAGTTTTCATTTAAGAAGTTCTTGCGAAGTGCATCTGATAGGTATAGAACTGTTGTAATAATTACGCTAGTGACAAAAAAAATACATATTAAGTTGCAGCCTTCGTATTAGTGGAAATCATTTATTAGATAAGAATAAAGAGCAACTAAGACAAAAGAAAACCTTCTTCAGTAAGCATGTGGAACAAGATTAGATAATTCATATTTGAAATAAAAAAGAGATACCAGGCAAAAAAAAAAGGAAAAAATTTATCACTAGGGTCTGGTTCTTTGTAAAATGATACACAGAAAGATCTATGAATTCATATGACTCAGTCAGAAATACATTAATCTCTTGATGTTTCCTAATGATTTTATTAATTTCTGAATAAAGCAAAAATATTTAATACAAATATAATATTCCATAATTGATTAACATAGAAGAAAGCCACACTTTTTAAAAATACAGAAAAAGAAATGGAACTCAAGGAGGGAATGGACAGGATAAAATGATAGAATATAGTTTTGAGTATTTATTAGATGTGTTCTCTCTCCCCTGTTTAAAATGTTAGGGGGCATGAAAGAGCCATAGAAGGCAGATTCCCTCTCTCATGCCGACAAGCCTGTCACTAAAGGAACAATTACAGACAGTGAGATTGTCTATAAAACAGTACTAAGCTGCGTGAAACTGACAGTGAGTGTTACAGCAATTCAGAGAATGGAGTATCTCAGAGCTGGAGAAATTAGGAGGAAAGCTTGACAGAGGGGACATACATAGCCATGTGTTCTTGCTGGGGAGATTAAAAAAGAAGGGTTTGGTGAGCATTCTTGGTTAATTCTAGACTTATGTAATTTGTTCAAAATTTGTTCCTTTTTGCAGCTATAAAAGTATACATACCAAAACTGAATACATTCCCAATTGGTTCATTTAATGTTAGATACAGCATTATATTGAAATAAGACAGGCCACTCTCCAAGCTACTCTAAACTAAGCACCAATGTATAAATGGTTGATACTTAAAACTCTTTGGCCTTTTCTGGGATGCATGCGAAAGACAGTGCTTGTGATGTAATGAGGCGCCAGTCCTCACCATAGGATTTGGAATTGAAGGATGTAGTTGCATGACTCTAGGTAAAACAAAATGAAATAAAACAAAACACCCAACCAACTTCATACCTTAGTTATCTTCCTTGTAAAATATAGATCAGAAGGATACTTACTAATTAGAAGCATATTTATAGTCCTTGAAGGACATAAACGTTCATTACTGTTATCTGCTGGAAAACTCACTATTATAGCCTTCTTGTGGGGAAAGGGAACACTAACTAGATTAAGGGGTTGGATGGTTTAATGTGAAAGCTCATGGTAAAGAAAGAAAAAGAGAAGAAAACCACTACTTCTTGGGCACCTGCTCTATCCTGAGCAAGCACTGTGGTAATGCATGCACATTTTACATATGTCATTTACATCTCTCAGTGAATCTTACTATCAAAGTTAGGTATAAGTAACGCCTATGAAATTGAGAAGTCCTGTGATGTCTTCAGCCCCCCAAATGGCAGACACCATCAGTGAATTTCATATCAAAGAGAGAAATCACCTACAAATAACAGTATAAAGTGGCAGTTTTCTACAGACGCTGGCAAATTCAATGACGATAACTAAAGAAATCATTAAAGTTCCCAAAGTAGTTTATTCAGACCTTATTATATGAAACTAAAGCATAATTATCAGAAAATGGAATGCTATGAGGCAAGGAAGCAGTTCTTGGCCTAGCATCTAGAAGATTGTTAGACTGCTTTTTGTTTCATTTTGCTGAGGAAGATTGGCCCTGAGCTAACATCTGTTGCCAATCTTCCTCTGTTTTGTATGTGGGATGCTGTCACAGCATGACCTGACGAGTGGTGTGTAGGTCTGTGCCCAGGATCCAAACCGATGAACCCCACGCCACCGAAGCAGAGCACATGAACCTAACCACTATGCCACAGGACCAGACCCCTAGGCTTTTAAGTTTAAAGAAGAAAATTTTGCGTCCTTAACATGTGGTTCTAAGCACAGACATTCTACTTTGACATGCAATGGAGAAATACACACAGTCCCTCTATACCTGAGTTTTACATTAAAAAAAAACACCTTCTGGCCCACAACTCTAGCTTGGATTGTTGCTCAGAAACAATAACCTCTGGTGTTAGTGAAATATGACATATCTGGGATTTAGACTATTGGGCTTAACATCCTGGAAAGGAGCCAACCAATTCAATCTTCCAAATGAGAAGCTATTCCGAGGTAAAGATTACTCATTTGTTATTTATATGCTGGGTCCCAAACACAACCAACATAATTCAGAGCTTGTTCAACTGTGCTTACTAGTAAACAATGTGGAGCCTCTGTGGCCTTATTATGGACCAGTGAGTCTCAATTTGGCTGCTTATTGGAAGCACCTGGGAACTTTAAAATACAGATGTCTGGGTCACATCCCCAGGGATTCTAACAATCAGATTGCAGTGCAACCTGGACTTCAGGATTGTTACAACTCCCAGGTGATTCTTTTGTACACCCAGAGCTAAGAACTCTCTACCAAGAGCAGTGCTTCTCAAATGTAATGGGTACCTTGCCATCTAGTTCAAATGCAGATTATGATTCAGTAGGCCTGGGGTGGGGCCTGAGACTGCATTTCGGACAAGCTCCAGGGGATGCTCATGCTGTTGATCCACAGCTCACTCTCTGAAGAGCAAGGCTCTAGAGAGGCCTGAGTCAGAAAAACATTCCAACAAACTCTGCTTCACATTTTCCCGGCTTCCAGAACTTTAGGCCAATGACTGTTCTTATGGTTCTTTAATGGGGCACGCAATCCTTGCTCTAGATGGAACACCTCATCTTCTCATCAAGGCTGCTTTATCATGAGGCACAAGAGGCACAGGGCAAGGGTCTAGGAGCTTCTCAGGGCCTTCAGAAAATACTGAGACCTGAAAAAACGTGATGGGATTAAAAATTAAAACTGCAAAATAAAAACTAAAAAAAGTTAATTACATGTCCACCGAATGCAACATTATCAATTTCATTAACTGTCCAATTTAATATTTGTGCAATTTCTATTACATTAAAAAATTATAGGTTGCTTTTTATAACTTTCCAAGAATTCCTAAACATATAAAAATGCTGAGAAATCACAGCCAATTGGAATGAAATGATTTTACTCATAGGCCAATAATTTAAAAAGCAAAAGGGTAAAAATTGCTTTTCACTTTTTCTTTAGTAAAATATATCTAATGTGGCATGTGAGTCTCTTTAATACAGTTCATATGATAAGGAGTAAACCTACAAAAATAAGACTAGAAAGATCTTGAAATGACTCTACCTCAACTGCTTTCCATTTATGCTTATAATGTTCAGCCCAAGTCACAGAGGCAGGTCCCAGAGCTTTTTATGGTAACTCAGCACTGAGTCAGTTTCCTGGCACACAGGTCCCCAAGCCAGCTAAAGGCATTTATACATTATTGCTCCTTCATTGTAGCGGATACCTGTGGTGGTTAGGGATCTCTCTTTACTTGTTCCTATTTATCCAAAACCATGCGGCTCCCTTGGTTTTATTCTGTTACTCATGACTCAGTCTCTGAATATGGGGACATTTCAAATCTCAGTGCTCCAACTCAATAGCCAAGAAAGGTTTGCAATCTGTTACTGCAAATGGTCAAATTACTGATATCTGCTATAGAAATGCAGGCACAAGGATCACTTGACAACCATAATCTACGGGCACAGCATGATAAAATTTACACATAAAAGAGGAACTGATGCATAGGAAATAAATGTTACTGCTTCAGGTTTTCCAGTTGCCACCTCATTCTGGCCTTTAGGAAGTATCTTTAAGCAATGCTATCTCCCTGAGAGAGAAACCTCATCTCCTATAATGTGTCCTTTTGAAAACTAACGTGATAAGGAGTGATTTTGTTTTCAGTCAAGGAAGCATGCAGTGTGGGTGAGGTAAAAAGAATGAACAAGGATTGAAACAGAAGCATTTTAAAAATGCCCTTGACCTACTCCACTGGGCACTACTGGCATAAAATCACTCATGTGGCAGCAGCCTCAGTTTTGACCTATTAGGCTCGGACCCTAAGGAAGTCTTTCCTTCTTGTATTCATTCTCACTACCAACTCCTGAAACTCACCAGGAGATGCAGTGCACAAGCAATTCCTATGTAAATATTTGCTGTAACTTTATTTAAGTTTGGCATATTCATCTTATAATATATGGTTTTGATAAAAATCAGTATCTTATCTCTCCCTGGACAGTAAAATAGTTTAAGGATAATTACCCTTAACAGAAAAACAACAAAAAACAGTAACAGCTGTGTCAATGAGTGCTTGATAGATTAGCTACTCTCCTACCCAACTTTTCATGGTCAGAATCACATACTCTGTCTTCCTTCCTGTTACCATGGATAAACTGTCAACTCTTAGCTAAGGCCAAGCTTCCTTTGTGTGCACGAGGTCAGTGTTACACTAAGAGTGGTAAGCTTCCTTCATTGAGAAGGACTTCCTACAAAAAATAATGTCACTTGAACTAAGCTGCATGCTTACACAGCTGATTTAATTTCTAGTGCAAGCTGATTGTGAACAGGTAACAGACAGTTCTCGAACAGGCACACTGAGCAATACTACACTCAAACCCCTCCCCACTTGCCTGCCTAAGGACATTGTTCCTTCACTTATCTCTGTGTTCTTTAGCATCATCAATACTTCTGTCTTTATCGGACCATTCCTATTAGTAGACCAACAGGCTATAATATTCCATATTTTAAAAAGAATCCTAGTCCCCACATCTCCTTCTAGTTATAGCCCCATTTCTCTGCTCTCTTTTACAGCAAAACTCTTCTGAAGAGCTGCCTATAATTACTGTTTTCACTTTCTCAATTCCCATCTGTTCTTGAATGCACTCTAATAAGGCTTTCATCTCCACCATGCCACTGAAACAGCACTTGTCAAGGTCACCAATATCCGTACCATGTTGCCAAATCTCAGGGGCAACTGTCAGTCTTCATCATCCTCAACCTCCCAGCAGCTCTGATACTCCTTCCATCATGAAATACTTTCTTCACAGGATGTTATACTTTGCTGGTTCTCACTGTGCATCATGGGCTGCCTGCTCCTTTTCAGCCTCCCTTTGCTGGATGCTTCTCCACATCCTGACCTTTAAAATGTTGGCATGCTCCAGGGCCCAGTCCTAAGTACTTTTCTCTTTTCAATCTACACTTTCTTCCTGGGTGCTCTCATTCCGTTCTATGGCTTCAAATACTATCCACAGGCTGATGACCCTCACATGCCATCTCTAGCCCTGACCTCTTCCCTGAGCTCCATACCAGCATGTCTAGCTTCCCCTTGTACATCGCCACTTGGATACCTAACAGCATCTCAAACTTCTGTTCAACTTAGGATTCATCACCTCTCCCACCCCCAAAGCTGGTCCTCTCTCAGTATTTTCTACCTAAGAGAATGGCACCACCGTCCTTCTGTTCACGCCAAAATTTTAAAGGCCAGTTTCAATTTTTTCTCTCCTATCCACATCCAGTCATCTGCAAGTCTTGTCATCTCTATCTCCAAAATTGATCTTCTTGCTACCTTCATTGCTATCTACCTGCTCACACCATCATCATCTCTTACCTGGATTGCTGTATTAAGCTCCTAACTGGTCCTTCCTGGTTTCTCTTTTGTCTCTCTACCCACAGATATGTGGGCCCTGTCTTTCTCTTCCAATCTCATCTTTATGGGTTCCTTCCCTCCTCGTATTTCAGCCACACTAACAGTCTTTCAGTTCCTTAAATGTGCCATATTCACTCTGACCACAGGGCCTTTGTATATGATATTCCTGTTGACAAGAACATTCTTCCTTTGCTGTTTATCTATTAACTCCTGGTTTAGCTTTCAGCTCAAGTTTTACTCCCTCATGAAAGACCCCTCTTATGCCAGTCCAGAACAAATTTCCTTTCATAAACATCTTCATAGAACTGTGCTCTTTAGCTTTATGGAATTTACTTTACACATTAGGCACTAAAAAATATTTGCTGAATGGATGGGTCCATGAATGAACGGAATCTTCGATTCTATAAATCATTTATTTGCTATATAGATCTCATTTGGAAGCTAAGTTGGTTAAAGGGAATAGTCAACTAAATAATTCAGTGTTTGGTGGGAAAAAACACAAAAGAAAATGTAGGATATATTTGAAGCCAACAGGCAGACAAGATATACAGAATAAGGGCCTGAAATGTCAAGCACAGGCCCAGGGAGCTTTTACTTTCCTCAATAAGCTAGTCTGTTATAAGATTTATTTCCTTGAAAATATGTATAAAGCTGTAACTTTATTTTTGTACCTTAATGTGTATGGGAAGGGGGTGGAGAGAAGCTTGTCTCAAAGTGTCCTGTATTTTTGGTACTTAATTTTCATCTCCCTTATGTTCCTTCTTTCTCAGATTGAGCAGTTGTCCTCATCAGAAACATTTACCAAGAACTTACAGTGGGCACAATATAGCTTCGCAAGCAAGCAAGAGAAGTCACGTTTCTCGTCCTTGGGAAATTCAGCCTGGACACACTTACTATGTTACACAATATTAGAGATTCAGGTGGAAATAAACAAAAGACCATCCTAATCACCACGTGTCCAGTCACAGCTTTTGGCAGGACTTCGCATAAAGTACGGAAGCTATAGGATTCTGGACCACACAGTTTATAGATGAAAGTTAAAGGCATTTAACTTACCTGAAAACACAGGAAGAAAGGACCAACACATAGAAGAATACATATTTTGAGGGATGAGCTATTCACTTGAGTTCAAGGGCAGGACAATGGTGACTTCTCAGCTAGTTACTAACAATTCAACATGTATTAAGTACACGAGTGGGTAGTAAAAGTGGGACTTTGGGTTAAAATGCCTCTTTGAGGGGCCCTAATTAAACATTTGTCTAAGAAAGTTAGTATCTTGGAAGAAGAGGTGGCCAATCTCCGAGGCACAGACCTGCCTCCTGCAACTTGCTTCTATGCACTTCAGCAAAGTGGGAACTTTTCTTTCCAGTATATGCTCTTTAACATATTTAAAATATCTTTAACATCCTTCAGAAATTTATTTTCCTACCAATATTATAGAGGTTAACATTTTTTACAGATAAAGCACACACAGGTGAAACCTTATATGTGGACTATATTGCATTTATAAAGCAAGAAAAATCTCCTATGCTTTCATAATTTGAATGCGAAATGACTATGACAACTAAACAAGAAGAAGAGAGGAAAAGAGAAGCAAGTAGAACAGAATAGAGTAGGTGGTCTGTTCCAAGTTGGCAGGTGCTGCACCGGGCCCTGGAGTCCTGTCTATGAATTAGGTTGGACTTGCCGCTGCCAGCCATTGCCAGTGGAAAAGCAGTGCCAGATTCCTATTGGCACTGACTTGGGTGGCAATGGAATGATATTATTGCATTTAGCAAAGGCTGATGGCCTTTTTCTTGGGTTTGCTATGGGAGTAATCTTCTGTTTAAATGTGTTACAAAGAGTTCATCTCTAACAAAACCATGCTCCTACTTGGTTAACACTATAGATAGAAATCTTGAACATCATGGATTTCCTCAAAAGCAGAATCTATGCTGTCAACCACTTGTGTGACCATGAAGTCTTCATAAATAAAGTAGAGATTTTTAGGTGGGGTAGAGAGAGATGGCATTTAATATCAAAAAGCCACATGGTTGTCATGGTTTTCAGAAGCTCAAGAACAGCCTGTGTACGTAAGGAACAAAATGTCAAGTTTACTTTCAGTTTGAATTTCTGCCACTGAAAATTCTAATTCAAATCAAAATACCCCCTTGCACACAGGGCAGGCAGAATGACCTAACGATGACACTGTGTGATGATGATGTCAGTAGCCTGAACCCCTTCCCATCTGGCTCCCTGGATCACTTCATAGCCCTCTCTAGGTGCCCAGAATGTTTGATGTTTGGTAATAGGGCCAGATATGTGACCAATAGCTCCCACTGAAATCTGCAGCATCAGGACATCCAGATGAAGAGATATTTGATTCTACTCACAGATATCAAATTAAATATGCTAAATTCTATAGAGAGCTATTTCAGTAATTCAATTAGTCTTCAAAATGGAAAAGCTGCTTCTGTACTTATGTAAAATATAATATGCCATATTATACTATTTGTTACTTCACAAAGTTTTTAACACATCATTTTAACACCTCCACATCTATAAATGTATACTGCAGCATAAGCCATATTTGGTATATCTAATAAAAATCAAATCCTGTATTCCTAGGTCTCTACTATCATCATACCTGGGCATCTGGGGAGGACATATGGCATCTTCGGGCTATGGAGGATACCTAGAGAATCCAACCTTCACCCTAAGCATGAGGGTGTTGGGGACTGAAGAAGAGGAGGAAGGAGAAACAAGCAAATGTGGGCTTAAAAGTAAGAATGCTTATGAAACAGGGTAAATTACAAGTGTGGGAGTAAAGATCAGGCCAGTTTCCTAAAGAACTTCATCTCCATTCTGTATCCTGAGACGACAGAGATAAGAAGTGAGAGAGCAGATAAATCTATGACACTTACTCTCTGGGAATGGCTTCTGCCTCCTTGTCTCCTTTTCTGGCTCCGACTCCTTCCAGCACTGACCTCAGATCATTTTATTTTTTTGCTGGATATGCTTAACATGAGCTAATCTTATCAACTCCCAGAGATTCAACTTTACATCAATAGCTTCCCAAATGTCTGTATCTAGTTCTGAACTCTTCTCAGAGCACTATTTTCAACTCTCTACTGGCCAAATCACCTAGCTTTGGAAAGGGAACTTCAATCTTCACGTGTCCAACTCAGGGTTGTATCTTATTCCCAGTGCTCAGCACACGGTAGATGCTCAATGTATTTTGTTGCATTAAAATGAATTAAGAAACATCAGAAATGACTCAGGTGTCCAGCACCAGGGCTAGTTACATAAACTATGGTACATCCATTCAATGGAATACTAAATATCTGTAAAAGAAAAAAACCAGAAAAGAATGAGCAGCTTTCTATGTACTAATGTGGGAACATTGCCAGGATTTTGAAGGGAAAGAGCAATGTGCAGAAGAGTATATATTATGCTTCCTGCTAGGCTCTGCATATAGGAACAGTGGAAGGATATGCAAAAAACTAATAAAAGTGGTTACTATAGGATAGGGGTAGGGGACAAAGAAGGTAGGAGGGAGTGTGACTTCTAAATGCATAATTTTTTTAAAAAAGAGTGAGAGAAGTTAATTCAGAGGCAAAGAAAAAGAACCCCAGGACTTGGAGATTTCAAACTTGAAATCAAACTAAAAAGATCATTTTGTACTCTCCTCTTCCCCTACACAATGCATTGAAATTATCATCAATTTAAATGTCTTACTTGTTAGCCACCAAGCGCATAACAGTCCAGTCCTTTGGAAACATCTCTGGGCGTATCAATATTCGGAACACAGTAAATATCTGCAGCAGGAAATCCTTGGATAAGGAGGAGAAAGACCATTTCACTTAGTTATTATAACTGTCAACACACACACACACAACACTGCTGTTACCATTTCCAAGGCAATTACAGAGAAGAAGGGAGCCATACTTGAACAGTGCACCCAGGAGAAGGAATCTTTACCTTCCCCTTCTCAACACCCAACTGGTTTGCTACTCCTTCCCAAATGTTCCCTTTTCTTTCTCTCTTTCGCATGCACGGTGGAAATGACTTGTCATTTCTCTTCAAAAGCTCTAAAAATTCAGGTTTAGAAATAAAATGGAAAACTACTCATAGAAGATCGGCCGGCAAAAATATTCTTTGTTTTATTATAGGGTTCTAAACATCAGAACTTTCCAACTCAAAACAATGATAAACAGTCCTGGCTCAGCTCTACTTTCTTTTAAATGGGTTAACACCATTAATACTGCATCTTCAGAATGCCTTCTAAGAAACATGGGTTTTTGCTTAAGATGCTTTTTAATGAATATAACTTTCTAAATTTTATAGAATCTGAGTGTGCTATGCAGAATAAATTTAAATAAGGATGTGTGCTAAGCTAAGCCCAGTGACGAGTACTTAGAAGCTAAGAGTGTCAAAGCATTCTTCACAGAGATGCTACGCCAGAGGGCAGTGGTATTTACTGAGGTGTTATCTTTAAACCGATCACCCGGAAACATTCTTGACAAGAAGCTCTTGTCAGACATGAAAATATCTCTTCTTAAAACATTACAAGAGATAGGACACAAAACACTGTAGCACATTACACTTAAAGGGGAATCTAGCAGATAATGTACCACATCTAATAATGAAGTAGAGCTCGCCCTACTCAAAACAAGATGGGTGCAATCTAGCTTTGATTTAGTCTATTAACTGGAAAACTTACAGACTTTTTTGTAACCTTCAGTGCTGCTGGGAAAATATATCTCACTAACAATCTGATTGAAGGCAACAGCATGGTGTTGCTTAAAAATTTTTTAAAAAAACCAAAACAGCAGAGTTTTACTTATCAAACCCAACAACACATTATGTTAAACATGTAAGCTGCCTGAACATAAGATAATGGTTGTCACTCATACCATCAGAAGAGAGAAAGAATCTAAAAAAAACTAAGACACATGTCGTAGCTTTGTGTGTGTGTGTGTGTGTGTGTGTGTGTGTGTTTTACATACTCTAACAGTTTTGATCAAGCCCATAAATATTTTGACAAGAATTTATTTTAGCTTCTTTGGCATCAACACATATGTTGATATGCAGTATGCGCCATGTGGAAATGTGCCCACTAGGTCATCTGTCTTTAAATGGCCAGACAGACCCTGTCTGTGTCTGCAGAATCACCAGACACAGAGTTTCCCAAATGTATTCCACTGCAGGTCAAATAATTTTGGAAAACACGTCACATTCTAGCCTTCCCTTGGAAGAGGAGGTCATTAGCATACTATAACTGTGAGAAGCCCTTTTTAATGCATTTCTAAAACTTATTCTAAACAGTTTTTCGGTTATTTCTTTTGGGTCTCTCAGACATGAATACATATAAACCCTGCAAAAATTGATGTTTGCATTTACCTTTCAAAGGTTATACCCCACTTTAATTTCCTGTCTTGTTGCATTTGCTTAGATATTAAAGAAAAACCATGAAAGTGGGGAGTCATTTGTTTTTCATAGTCTCTAATTAGTTAGGTATAGTTTAAATAAGTTCTGAAATAGTGAAGTTTCATCTTCTCTCCTCAAAACTTTTAACAGAATTGGAAATTGGAGGCAGCACCCTTAGGGATGGTGTGTGTGTGTGTGTGTATAGGCAGGGGGATGGTGATGTCAGCTGCACAGAGAAAAAAACTAGCTGAAAGACTGACTGAACTGACTACAGGAGGCAAGACATTTATCTTATGTGCTAGCAACTCTGGTGGTTCTTTTGTAGTGCTGGGGACAAAGGGAAAGTTATCTGAGGTGTAGGGGTTTTCCTAGTCCCATTTATCTCACAAAGTAAAATGTGTGGCAGCCTGTGACACCGTGCCAATGCCTATGTATTGACAGAAATCTTTATTTCTCCTAAGAAAACTTTTCAGCATCTCAAGTAGCTTTTCAGGTATTCATTCAGGCTTTATTCACCTTTATAGATCCAAACACATTCATTTGTAGAAACCTTATAATGAAAATAAAGGAACATTATACTGAAAATCAGGAAACCTAGATTTTAATCCTGGCTCTGCAATTAACTAGCTCAATGACCTTGGCAACTTATTTAACTCTTGGAACTGAGCCCTCTTACTTGGAAAACGTAGGAGCTTTAAGGTCTCTTGCTGTTAAAATCTTGGAGATTTAAAAAAGTTAATATGATCGTTTATTTATTCATGTAGTACACAAAATTTTTCTTATTTCTAAACTGTAGACTAATGTTTCATCAGATAGTAACACAAACACCTTCCATCATAGTACTTACATGTAATTTAGTTCAGCAAGTATTTCTTGTCAACTACCATGCAACACGCTTCATTTCAAACTCAGTTCTAATATTTTAAAACACTAAAACCTGAATGCTGGATTCTTCAACATCCCTCTCCTTTCTTCCCCAAATACAGTGGTATTTCCTTGTCTGCCCTCATAAGCAATTTTCAGCTCTGATTATTTCACTAAATACGTGCTTTTGCATAGATTTGTGAAATTATTTTGCACACATAACAATAACTAAGTAACAGATTCTTTTCATAATTTAAAAAAAGAACACTGCTATAATAATATCCCTGTTTGCATAGCAAGAAATAAGCGTTTCAAATGCCACCATTTTAAAATTGGCAGCCTGGAAAGCAGTTTCTTTTTTTGTTTGTTTACTTCAAATAGCACAACATGGTAACTTAAATGCTACTGATTTTTGCTCAAATAAGGGTTCAAAATAAAGAAAGAAACAAAGAAGTGCTACTTTATAGAAACACTTTTCCTACAGTGCAAGAGGTGCAAGTAAAAAAGTTCATACGAAACCCTTCCAAAACAATAAAAAGTCCCATATTCAAGTAAAAAACAGGAGCAATTGTTATGATTTTAGAAATTATTACTAATGTTTATTCATCCATAAATATTGGCTGCTTCACTATGTACCAGGCACTGTGTAGGATACTGGGGATACCTAGTGGGGTAAGCTATATCCTTTCATTTATTCGTGCAAGAGAATCTATGGAGGGCCTGTCACACGGCACACCACAGTAAGTAACTGAACGTGATCTTTGCCTTCACGAAGCTCACAGTTTGGTGGGAGAGATGAATGTTAATCTAAAAACCATACAGATCTATGCCTGCACTACAATCTAGGATAAGACTGAGGGCCGGGTATTCCACAAAGAGCGAAGAGCACCTAGCTCAGAGGCAAGAGAGAGCACAGGGTTGCCCAACTGCAAGGGGAGCAGCAAGAAATGGGGCTGAAAGATAAACAGGGACAAATGAAAGATGGATGGATGGAAGGATGGATAGATATACAGACAGACAGAGAGATGATAAATAAACAGGCACCAAAGATAAATAAATAAATGAAAGATAAATAAATAGGGATCAATCAAAGATAAATAAATAAGTGAAAGAGAAATAAAAGATAAATCTCATACCTTTCCCATGGCAAGCAGTTTGGAAATGTACCCTGAGGGCAAACTGGAGACACTGAGGGGTTTTATGCAGATGTGTGAGAGGATCAAATCTGTGTTTTACAAAGCTTATCTGACTATAATACATAAAGAATTGTTTTGTGTTTACACACGATACTATGGTATCAGAACAGCACAAAATAGAAATTAGGTGTATGAAACAAAATTGGTCAGACACAGAAGGAGGAATTCTGAGATCATGAAACTTGAGTTAAGACATTCAAAAAAGAAAGCACCATGAGGTGGGTAAACAGACTAGGACATTGTCTGCTTATGTCAAGAGCAATGAATGGGACAGAGTTTTCTAGGAACACCTTTCCTTTACTTACCATTTAGATGATAGTCAAATCTATTTTAAAAATTTGCATAAACTTCAAATGTGTAACACCCTTGATAAGGGGTTTGAATTCAATTAAAGGGTGTTAATAATCATTATCACATTGAACTTTGTATCCTTAAAATTGAATATTTAAGTACATTATGCAAAGATAACTCCCAAATGGTCTTCAATCTTCAAGAGCTATAGAACTATTTTTCTATAATAAAAGACTCTAAGTTAAAATAATTGTATGGAAAAAGATGGCTTGTGAAGCAGGCAGACATTTATCAAGAGGGTTGATTCATTCAACAAAGATTTAAATATTCCAGGCTCTGTGCTTAGGACACAAAGACATGGTACCTACTCTCAAAGTCCATAGTCATCAAGAAGACAAGGACACAACACATCATTACGATGTATTGTTTCATGTTATCATTGGCGGGGGGTGGGGGGGGGGGGCGGTGAACTACAGTCTGTGAAGGCTTCATAAAGAAGGTGATACACGAGTTGGATTTATAGCATGAGTTGAAATCAGGGAAGGGATTAACAGGGGTACAAATTACGCAATGGAAGCGAGGTGGTGGTGGAATAGGCATTTTAGGTAAACAAAAAAAATTCAGAAAAACAAAACCTTATATACATGTTACAAATATACAAATTTTAAGTGGCTGGAGTGAAAGGTATTTGGAAAGGGGTGCAGGACAATGAAGATGGAAGGTAGACTGAGGATAGAGAAGACTTGACAGAGATTGGATTTTTCCTGTAAGTAACATGAAGTTGTCCGAGTTTTAAAGTTGGATTGAGACTTGATCAGATAGGATTTTTGAAAGCTGGTGGGCCAGTATATGGGAGACAATGAAAGGTTATAATAATGCTGTACTTAACTTCCAGAACACATATAATCTCTTGCTTAAAGAAAGATCCCCACAGCTCTATATGAAAAGCCATGATCAACAAAGAACAGGAAGCTCACTGCTCTCTAAATATATGAAATACCAGGGATATGGACAAAACTTCAGTCCCCCGTAGAAGGTGGGTGTATAATAAA